CTCCGCGCAGCGCCGCTTTATCTGAGCTGGACTCGCCTGCGAGACCAGCAGCTCCTTAACGAGTTATAGGCAGTTTGCGCATTCACAGCTATTTCTGCGGAATCATTCCAACTTGTTCTGCCGCACAGGTACGCGTAGTCGCCGGTGCCGATCTCCCATCTCAATTCTCAGGAACAGGCATTTGACAGACGACTGCGGGATTTGTTATCGCGGCACTATTTATACCAGACAATATTCCAGGTCTCAGCGCATACAGCCCTCAGCTCTCTTCCACGGCCGTCCCACCATGATCCTGACAGTTCACACATTATTATCGCCCTATTTCCTCCTCCTATCCATCGGTGCGAGCGCACTGTTGTTTACAATCTATAAGCTCCTCCCTGTTCTCCTATCTCCATTTACGTCTACACTACGAAACCTCCCTGGCCCGCCTAATACTAGTTGGTTCTATGGTAACCTCAAGGAAATTCAAGCCGCCGAACAGTCTACCCTGCACAACGCATGGGTCGAGAAGTACGGGAAGACCATCCGATATAAAGGATGGTTAAATGTCAGTTTAGTCGATGTTCTGATTAGACGTATATTCACAGATTGATATCTTGAACCTAGACGGACAGGCTGTACACCTTAGATACGCGCGCGGTTGGCCATATTCTCAGCCATTCCTATGATTATCCCAAGCCCGAAATGTCTCGCTTCACGCTATCACAGGTTCTTGGTGCCGGTCTGTTATTTTCCTTTATGTTTTTTGGGGATGGTACGCTAACGTTATCCTTCTCAGGCTTGCTGATAGTCGAAGGTTAGTCGCGTTGCGTTTTGATTTATGGTATACCTGACCTTAGCTGTGCCCAACGCTTAGGCGAGCAGCATCGCAGACAGGTACGATAGTTGGCTTCTCAGGCTGTATTACGGTACACTAACAGCGGGGCGTGTCATTTTTGTAGAGGCGTATCATGGTGAGTTGCGATCTGCATCATTATAGTGACGAGTTTAACTGATGATCCCTTAGAATCCTGCGTTTGGCCCAGTCCAGGTTAGAGAATTAACGGGGATCTTTGTAGAGAAGGCGAACGAGGTTGATATAATCTTTCTGCCTCACTACACTAGTCTGATCATGACGGGTTCCATTAGCTTTGTGATTTCTGGAACGAAGAAATTGCTAAACATGGTGAACCGGCTCGGATCAACGTCCTCGACGGACTCAGCAAAGCGACTCTAGACGTGATTGGTTTGGCAGGTTCGCTAGCTTTCCACTAAGCGACGCTCAAAATTTTACGCTAATATCTCACAGGCTTTAACTACACGTTCAACTCGCTTAATCCCCATGGCGAGTCCAATGAGCTCAACGACGCCTTCAGCACGATGTTTCAATCTCTAACACAGCTGAACGCCAACTTGATGCGCGTTCTAAAGGTCTATGTCCCCATCCTTCGTGTTTTCGTACGTCTCGTTTCCGAGAGGTTTGATGTCCCGTCTAATTTTCTGTTCACGCAGCCGGATGCCACCACGAGGACTACGGAAAATGCCCAAAGCGTTATGCGCCGCATTGGCATGCAGCTTATCGCTGACAAAAAGGCCGAGATTATCAAGGCTGCCAACGCAGGCGAGAAGGGGGGTAGTTTGCAGAGCCGCGATCTTTTGACCCTACTCATCAAAGCCAATATGAGCACCGACATTCCTGAAAACCAGCGTCTGTCTGATGAGGATGTTCTGGCCCGTAAGTGATCATCTAATTATAACTTCATATGTCGCTCAACACATGTTTACAGAGGTCCCAACGTACGTAAAATCAGTACTTACAACCAAGTACCTATTAAATATGTCACTTCATAGATTCCTCGTCGCCGGGCACGAGACGACCAGCAATGCGACGACGTGGTGCCTCTATGCCCTCGCTCACGCCCCCGAGATTCAACAGAAATTGCGCGAAGAACTGCTCGGCGTCGCAACTCAGAATCCCACTATGGACGAGCTGAACGAGCTTCCGTACCTCGACGCTGTTGTTCGCGAGACGATGCGTTATCATGCTCCTGTCTCGGGGACGATTCGCCACTCGGCAAAGGACAATGTCATCCCGCTCGCCACTCCGTTTGTCGACGTTAATGGGCAAGTACAGGATGTCATTAGGTGCGTTGGAGGCGGCCATTGAGGGTGGAGGACGCTGATAATCTCGTACCTTGTCAAGGATTCATAAGGGCTGTGTTATTTTAATCCCCATCCTTGCTATAAACAAGTCAAAAGAGCTCTGGGGCGAGGATGCAGACGAATTCAAGTGAACTTTCCACAGTATTTTTGGAGCTCCTTGCTGACCATTCGTTTGCATGAAGGCCTGAACGATGGATCACTGGCGTGCCGGAGGCAGTCCAGCACATCCCTGGTGTGTGGGGAAACATGCTGAGCTTCCTCGGCGGGCCTCGCTCTTGCATCGGCTATCGTTTCTCCCTCGTCGAGTGAGTGTTTACGATGCACGTCATGGTGAGCTAGTATAACTGATTGGCCGCCTTTTGCAGGATGAAAGCTTTGCTATTCGCACTCGTGCGTGGGTTCGAGTATGAGCCAGCAATGCCTGCCGAGGCAATCACGAAGAAGATGGCGATCGTGCAACGGCCCTTCGTCCGGAGCGAGATGGAGAAGGGAAGCCAGTTGCCGCTCATGGTACGCCCGTACCAGCGGACGTAGACGTGGTTTGCACATTGCTCAGACAGAGTATCTCACAAACAACCTGGAGCTGCAGTAGTGAGTAATATCAAATGTGCTCAACTACTGGCGTGTCGTCTCCATTCCAAAGTCTCATATTTAATGAGAGACTTAACATATGTATATTCCGATGCGAGGGGTTGTGATTTATTTTTTGCTGTGCCATAACGCGGATGATACCTGCATATCTAGTTCATCGACGCATATACGAGTGCGTCTTTCAAAGTTCTCACTAGTTAAAACGATCGTTCAGGGATACATTGGTGTTGGCTTATGATGATTCAATGCTAATGCGACCCGGATTCCACGGTCTCGTACTCCCATTTTTCGTGCAAGTACATTGCTCCAGATTGTTCTTGCTGGAGTTATGCTTAACGCGTGAATCCCGGAAGATGCCGGCGTACCAGGTCTCATTCAATCGACACAATCCAGCGACCACTATCATCCGCTGTAATTATTATTGCTGCGGACACCCCTGCGGAATCTGTCTGGGATGCTTGAGCAAGCTACTTCGTCCATAGTGCGCGCTAGCTGCAAACAGCCTGCTCGGAGTGCACGTACTTCAAGTTGCCACCGTCGCAAGTCTCCTTCCTGCCTCGCGGTGTGTACTGTAGTGCTAGGGTCCATCTCAGGCAGGTTACTCGTGACTACTCAGCTTCAAGTACTGGAAAAGACTGAGTTCATTTTGGGATAGAAACTCTGCACTTTCGAGACTGCCTGGATTCGCTTCCACGAATCCGGACGTGTTGAGCGTGGATCTTTGGTCGATTTGTGGGCTTCATCCAATTCGCATGCATATTGTGAGCCTAGACTGATTATACGTGGGAGTGCTTCACGGAATCCTGCTGCGCCATCTATCAACTGCAACGCTGCAGCACTGCTTATACTTATGTAGGAACTCGCTCGGATCACTCCTCTGCTGCTACCATGTCTATCTCCATAAGTCCGGCCAGTCCGTTCTCGCCCTCTCTCTTGTTTCTAATAACTATTGGAGTCGTGGCACTGTACCATGTCAGAAAGAAGATATTCACCATCCTGTTTGTGCCTAGTACGTTGCGGGATCTCCCGGGCCCGCCCAGCCGCAGTTAGTTGTGTGGAAACGTGAAGGACCTAATGGAGCACACCGAGCAATCTACAGTGTTCGGGAGCTTGATAGAAACATATGGTACGACCCGCAAGATCAAAGGGCTGATGAATGTGAGGTTGAATCAACTCAGCTCTGCGGGTGTCTGATGTATGAGTTGAACCTCATAGACGGACAGGCTGCTCACTCTCGACACGTGTGCTATCGGACATATACTTAGCCATTCCTATGACTATCCCAAGCCAGAAATGGTTCGCTATTCTCTCTCAAGTCTTTGGACCAAGCACGTGCACGGCTTGATGTCTCCTTGGAACCCATGTTCATAACTTCCGATATTTGTTTAGGTCTGTTGATAGTTGAAGGTGAGCTTGATATTGTCGTTTTATGGATATTATACTCAGTCATGAATTGTATAGGAGAGAAACATCGTAGACAGGTGAAATAGTTTTGATCTCTCTGTTTTGATGCATAACATGACTTTACTGATGCTAAATAGCTCTCTCAAAGCGAAGAATCATGGTGAGGATTTTATTCTGTTAGCGACTACATAATTCGATGGGAAATCTTCATTTTACAAGAATCCAGCGTTTGGCCCCGCTCAGATCCGGGAATTGACTGGCATTTTTGTGGAGAAAGCACATCAAGAGTCAGCGATTCCTTACGGTCGATATGTTACAGTGACTTAGTACGGATATTCAAAGTAGTTGCGAGATGTCTGGAGCCAGGATATCTCCAAGCACAATACATCTTCTCGCATCAATGTTCTCAATGGGCTAAGCAAGGCAACTCTGGATGTGATCGGGTTGGCAGGTACTTCCATATCATACTGCATACATCTTCTCTTCTGATCAGTCTTTGCAGGATTTAACTATGACTTCAGCTCTTTGAATCCGCATGGAGAGATCAATGAGCTCAACGAGGCATCGGGGCGATGTTCCAATCACTCAAACAAATGAATGCGGCTCTTCTACGTCCTCTTCAGGCATATTTTCCGCCTTTCCGCCTTTTCGTATGTCTTCTATATCTTTGTGTGTGACGCGCAAGCTCAATGTCATGAGCGGTTATAGCCAGATCTCAGTTTAGGTAGTCTCGAAAAGTTGTGCGTCGCATTGGCATGAAGCTTATTGCGGACAAGAAAGCAGAGATTATCAATGCAGCTAAAATAGGACAGAAGAGGGAAATTTTGCGGAACCGAGATATCTTGACGTTGCTCATCAACGCTAACATGAGTGATGAGATTCTGGAGAATCATAGGCCTTCTGATGAGGATGTTCTAGCCCGTGAGTAATTTGTAACAAGCAATGTAATAGATTCTGATATAAGATCTGCGATTCAGAAATCTCAACGTAGGTTGATACAGTTATGTCATTCGATCATATTCTTGAACGATTTTGATGTCACACAGGTTCCTCGTTGCCGGGCATGAAAGAACTAGCAACACAACGACGTGGTGCCTCTTCGCTCTCGCATATGCGCCAGAAATTCAACGGAAGCTCCGTGATGAACTATTTGGAGTCCCGACCGAGCAACCGTCTATGGACGAATTGAACGATTTACCCTATCTCGATGCGGTCGTTCGAGAGACGATGCGCTTCCATGCGCCTGTTGCCGATACAAACCGCCATTCAGCCAGTCCGTTTACTGACACACATGGCCAGGCACATGACGTGGTTAGGTCTGTTTGAACGGCAATTCGAGATTTTATTGTCGGAATACCTGATGCTGTGTATTCGCAGGGTTCAAAAGGGTTGTGTAATCTTCATTTCTATCTTCGCCATGAACAAGTCGAAGGATCTATGGGGCCAAGACGCGCACGATTTCAAGTATGCTTGCTGTTACTTGACTTTGAGGGGCGCGCTGCTGATTCATATCTTAACAGTCCTGAGCGATGGATTACAGGAGTACCAGACACAGTTCAGCAGATCCCGGGTGTGTGGAGCAACATGTAAGTTTTTTGGGCGGGCCGCGATCGTGCATCGGTTACCGGTTCTCTCTCGTCGAGTGAGTGATATAAGTAATTTCACTATCGTTCCTGAATATTAAACCCCGTGTTTGGCCAGGATCAAAGCACCGCTGTTCTCTTTGGTACGAGCTTTCGAGCTTTCGAATTCGAGCCTGCGCTGCCACAAGGGGAGATCATATAGAAAACCATGATCGTGCAACACCCCTTTGTTCCTGGCGAAATGGAGAAAGGGAGCCAGATGCCGCTCATGGTGAGACCTTACCAGCAGGCCGCAGTGTTAGTTTGAGAATTAATAACTGCGCATTGTCGCCCACGGTCTTTTTGTGGATCGGATACGCCACACGCGCTAGCCACAGTCTGCTTGTCATCTGAGTTGTATGATGTATGATATTTAGTTTTATTTCTTTCCTTCTGAACTCTGCGTTGGTACCAGGTGGCAATTATTGGACTGAGTATTGGATTACAGCTCGCAGCTCGGAAGACACTATGTTTGTTGAGTCCAGCACTCTGCTTACAGGTGAACTTCAGCATGATTTCATATATGCAGTTCAACTGTACTGCGCAGTCTGGGCTTTCGACGATGACTGGTTTGCAAACTCGAGCATATCTCATCGGCGGCTCGCGCCATGTATTTGAATAATGACACTGTTTCTAAACAGCACTCTTGATCTTCCTTGCTAAGCATTATCAACTTCAAGTTGGCTCTCCCGAGTCTTTCTTGATACGTGCTTGACTGCATTTTTTAATAGTACAAATAGGTCCGTGCTGTAGTAGAGCTTCGACTTACAATTTGGGACTCATCTCACATATACGTCGTATTCGACCCCCAGGTAGCTGATTCACTCATCAGTGTACAATCCGACAAACATTGGCTAAAGGGCTAGTAAAACACGACTGAGTACTAGACCAAAAGATACCAACACATTCATAGCATTCATGCTACAGTTCAAGTTTAAGGTATTGTCAATCGATACAATATTAGCAAAGCCCATCCTTAATCTAAAGAGACAACCATCGACGATATAACTTCTCCGCAAGCGGTCCTGCGCCGGTGGTTACAAATATAATGGACAGATTGTATGCTGCCTCACGCGCAAGACCGTCCTTTATACACACATCTCAACATGCAAGTACAAACACCATTCAGGAAGCAAACTGACCTGACTGTCCGTTGCTGCCCGTTTTTCCGCGAGCTCGAGAACTCGCTCATAATGGCGAGCCGCGAGAGAGTGAAGGCCTGTTTATCAGTGATCAGATCGAAGCCCCAACATGTCGGAAACTCAGTTACCTAGCTGTTGGAATGCACGTCCAAAGTTGTATTCGACCTCTTCTACGCCATCTGTGTTTTCTCCTCGAATCGAACGGTATTGAGACAAGAATGCCAGCCCCTAGGCGACAGCGTTCCATCAACTTACAGTAGCCGGGAGTACGTGAAAATGGCGAACGACACTTGCCTGAGTGATTAAGTGGTTCCTGTTGTCCGCTTGTCGTTGCATGGCGCGTCCAAACGATGCGATAGCTAGGCAGAGACATATCAGCGGATCCTGGGGGCAATAATCATATGCATGTAGCAAGTAAACTGTGCAAATATTTATGTAAGTGGGTAATTGTCATTCCATGAGTACAGCTCACATAGTGCACTCTGATAACTTCGGGCAGCAAGACAAATCTGACCGTAGATTGCTATGCTAACGGGATTGCCCTTGGTAGGCAGCTTCGTCTTTTCCCGGCCATCGGACGTTTCCCCCGTAGGTGTTCCCTCTTTTAATGCATCCTCTTCGTCGTCCGTATCGTCGTCATCGGCCCCTTTACTTCCAGAGCTTCCCAGTCCATAGCGTCGAAGAACACTGTTCCAACGAAGGGCTTCTGGATTTTTGAGTGCAGTATCTGCGAGCTTGAGCTCCCGGAGTAGGTGTTTGGCGAGCGTCGACACAAGAAACGCATCGGTTGCGCGATGTCCATTACTGAGAGACATGAGAAGCACGCGGAGTGGCTCGTTATTGAACTGATATGCAAGAACAAGCTTGCGTGATTGCTCGACCACCACACTGAACTGCTCGCCTTGGATCGCACAGGCTAATCGTCAGTCAAAGAAGACATGAGATATAAAAAGTAGAGTATGAAATGCGGATCGAACTGACTGATTAACGCCAGCCTGATAGTGTCCTGGGCAACACGAGTCTGGTATGCGCTAGAATATGTGATATGACGCAATATTTCATGTGCACTGTCGTATTGTCCGCGTTTAGTGAGTAGAAACGCATACTAGCCATGGAAGATCAATGCAGCAACGACAATCAAAGAGTGTGAAACACACGTGAAGGAACAGTCGCAGCCATTCGTCAAAAGGAATAGTGCGGAAGACGTCCACTCCTCCTGGATTGATTTCGGACTTCATTTTGCGCGTTGCAGACTCACGTCCTGGACAATTCGGGATTCGGACATTATTTCGCAGTACGAGGTGGGAGATGACATACTCAAGTCTAACTGAAGGCGAGAGGCCATACTTTCCTCGTTAGCTTCCTCGGCTTGTTTTCTCAATGATCTAGGGAACATTCCCCGGAACCCTTTGTGCTGCAGTGAAGCGTAAGTGTACAGGCCGATTTGCATCTGTACGACAACCCACCCTACTAGTCACAAACAGCGCTCTAGTCTCCCTGAAGGACTCAACCAGCTTCTCAGCCTCAATAAGCCATTCTCGCTCGGCATCTTCCTCGCCCACTAGCATTCGAGGCCAGAGTTCTCTGATGATGTGGAATCCTTGAGAAACTTCACGTTCTTTTTGTGATTCTAATTCTCGGAGTTGAGTCGCACTCAACTTGTCGGCAGACTTCAGACCGGCTTTCGACCTGGATTTCTCTTCAAACAGTGAAGATGAGGAGGGGTCTTCCATGGACCCGGTCACAATACCCTGTCGCGGCCGTCGCTTGCGTGAGTCCATAACTGGGATGACAGCGGTCAGATGAAGGTGTCTGAGTTGGCAAATTAAACTAACCTTGAAGCACCAACTCCAAAGCCTTTCGAGGTTCGTTGAGAATCTCGTATATCTCGGCAAGTTTCATCTTTGCCTCATTATGTGTTGCATCCGCAGCGATGACTGCACAGATTGGAATGGCGGCATAGCAGTCAACAACATATCACGTACCATGCTGATAGACTTCAGCGGCTTCCTTTATGTCGCCTATCATACGCCGACATGCAGCTGCCTGCATTAAAACGTAGAGGCTACTTGTCTGTACAAGAGTCCAGAGTCAGTCCATCCGCGCAAGTATGGACAAATCACATACACCCGCATCACCACCCAGGATTTCGTAGATGTGCCCAGCTTCAACATATAGTTCGCGATCGAAATAGGCATCTGCAATCTCGCCGAAAAGCGGGGCATATTCCGCGGCGTCTTGAGATAGAACAATTTTGGCATGAATCTACAACGCTTCCATTATTGAACCAGCCACCTTCCTTAGTTCATCCGGACACACACCTTGCCTTCTTCAGCATCCCCCATCTTAATCCGAGCCACGGCCAATCGATGCCTCGCATTGACGTCGAGAGGATATATCCCCGGCTGCAGCTCGTCATCCGCACATCTAAACCCCTCGGCATCATATTCACGATCGTCTTCGCAGACATCCCAAAACACTTGCTGGGCACGTCCCTGAAGCCATCTGCATCCTTTTCTGATTGTGTCAATGGCCTTTTCATACTTCCCCAAGGTGTTATAAAGATCCGCAAGTACAAGCAGGTGCATGAGCCCGAACCCACCGCCAGGAACCTCCTGCTGGCTTTCTGGATTATAGCCGATACCAGAAGGGAATATGGAGTGGTTATGGGCAAATGCTTCAGAAAAAAGCGTCGCGCATAGGGTGAGATCTGAAAGTTCGATGAGAACGGGACGGAGCTCATCGAGCACAGTAAGATTGTGGGGGACCCGCTTGAGCATGGCAACGAGTGTGCTACGAGCCTATATGTACTGGTGGTAAACGTGAAGTTCTCTATGTTCCGGACAGCCCATCATACCGTTTTCAGATCACCAATCTCTTTCGCTAAAGAGGCGCGGTCCCATAGGGCATTCACATTTGTTGGGTCAAGATTGAATGCTTTCCTGTAACAGTACAATGCTTGTTGATTATATCCCAATTCCCTGAGATGGTGTTTAGTTGGCGTGGGAAATTGAATTTAAACCATCTACCGTGATTGCCTGGCGAGCTGATCCCACTCTTCTGCATCATGATTGAGATGCGCCGCCATTACGCGCAACAACAGTGTCTTCTGAGATTCAGCCAGATCCGCATAGCACTGCGCAAGGACAGACCAAGCAGATGCAGCGCGTGGTTCTATGCGAATGACTTCCTCCATTACCCGAATAGCCTCGGGCAGATTGTTGTCAACGTATGCTTGATTCCCTTCCCCTATCAAAGCACGAACTTGTTGTGAAAGTACAGGTCCAGGACGTCTTCCCCGCTGTCCAGGACGTTCATGAAGAAGAGAGCTTGGACCATGCGTTTCTGGCCTACCTTCTTCCGTTTTGCGCGGCCAACTCCAGAAGCCTCACGCAGATCATCGCGGAACTCTGCTTCCTGGTCTTCAATGTTTATGTCCCACACCTTTGTGAGTATTCCAGTACTGGAGCCATCCCCCGCTTTGCGGATGTTCTCGACGAGTCGACTAGACGCAACTTTCAAGACCGAGGGGACATATTAACAAAGAATGACTTACTCGAAGTCGCCCTCAATCTGTGTTTCTACACTCGCAGGCGGCTCAAGAATAACGCTGCGTTTTCTCTCATTTCCCGTTTCCCCCTCGTCTTTATCCTCTTCTCCTGACTCGCTAGATTCTGACTGAGAATCCCCAGTCCATTCTTCGCTTTCGCCTTCAACATCGAGCTCTTCTTCGTCGGTAGAATGAGTACCATCAGAAGGCGCATGCCAGTCTTTCACAGTGTCAGACATGTTGAAAATAGAATATCATCATACACAGAGCCAGAGAGCGGACGCGGCGGTCAGATTCGCTGCGACTGAGACTGGGACATTTCCAAATCATCACGTGGTCGCGTTAGTACCATCGGCGCCTATCTTTCTTATTGGGGTGGGCCAGTCCTCAAGCTCTCTGAGAGTCGACTCTCAGGCTGCGATTGAAAATAAACTCATTTGCAGGCTATATGCATTTCTATGTTTTAGTTTAGAGGTGTGTGCTATATTTTTAGATAATAAAATGAATTAAAGACCCAGAGCTCCTACTTCGGTAATATGTGAATTCGCAGACCAACACTACGGTATCAATCATCCAAGTGCCACCACTTGTTCGACAGGTAGATTCCGAAATGATTATTGTACTATTCCATACGTTCGAGATCGCCCCAATGTTTAAGATAGCAATCAAGTAACAGAAGAGTCAAAGATAATTCACAGAAAGTGTCCGACACAAATTACAAGCTCGGAGAAAGCTCCCCGGTTCCCCTGGCTAATGTCCCGACGCTACTGCCAGTGAATTCCGTTATCCAGTTTTGAGACAAGTATATTTTTAAATCCGGCTCTATGGTAGAAGAGGCGATGACCCATCGCATGTTTTGAGACGAGCATAGTTAGTTGAAGTTTCCACTCATGTTTTAGGGTACGCCAACTGAGAACATAATTTGAGATGTTTCTGGCACAGACAAGCTGAGTTCATTCGTATGATTCTCATTCAACACTGTGTTACAGTTCCCACCTAGCTACCGCTGATAAAGTCGGACCAACAGCGGAAGCTGGCTCCCTTTCTCCATCTCACTGCGGACAACAGGGCGCTGTACGACTCCACGTTCTCTCGTGATATCCTCGTACGGCACCGCTGGATGGAATTCGAACGCACGTATAAGTGAGAACAGCAGAGCCTTCATTCTGTTCGGACATTTGATCAGCTCCAAGGCTCCTAATGTAGCATTTGAATACAATCCGAGCTACTTACTCAACAAGGGAGAAGCGATATCCAATGCATGACCGAGGTCCGCCGAGGAAGCTCAGCATGTTTCCCCACACGCCAGGAATATCGCGTACAGCCTCTGGCACTCCCGCAAGCCATCGCTCTGGACTGAGTTGGGCAAATAAGCCAATCATGCACCTTGAATACAAACGGAAAAGAACACACTAAAATTCGTCCGCATCTTCGCCCCAAAGTTCCTTCGACTTATTGATGGCAAGGATGGGAATCAAGATGGCACAACCCTTATTTATTCTGCATATTCATGGATGTATCATGAGCTGACCTCCATCTACACAGAATATCGTTTCAAGATATACCTGACGCTATTCTGCGCCTGGCCATGCACATCCGTGTACGGAGTGTTAAGCGGTATTACATCGTCCTTTGTAGAACGTCGCACCGTCCTGTCCAGAGGAGGATGGATGCGCAATGTCTCGCGGATTACTGCATCGAGATAAGGCAACTCGTTCAGTTCATCCATAGATGGACTTTCAGTAGGAACACTGAGAAGCTCTTCACGTAGTTTCTGCTGGATCTTTTGAGCATGGGCGAGGGCAAAAAGACACCACGTTGTCGCATTACTAGTTGTCTCGTGTCCGGCGAGAAGGAAACTGTTGGAATTCAAATCACGAAGTTGCAAGATGTATACTTGGGATGACCCAAACTTACGTTGGCACTTCTGTAAACGCATATGAGTTCAGTCGGATATAATTATGCATGACCATTCACTCACGAGCCAAGACTCCTTCATCTGAAAGCCTCTGACTCTCCGGAATCTCGCTACTCATGTTCGCCTTAATTAGTAACGTCAGTAGATCACGACTCTGTAGGTGCTTGTCCTTTTCTCCTGTATTGGATATTCCGAGAACCTCAGCTTTCTTTTCGGCAATGAGCCGCATGCCGATGCAGCGCATGACACCCTTAGCTTTGTTCATACTTCTGGTGACGCTATTGGGCTGATGTTCAAGCCGAGATTCAGAATGTCACGTCGTACATCAAAACAAAAGTGAAACATACAATGAATTGTAAAGGCGGAAGATAGAATTGAAGAAAGCGCAATACATTCGTGTCAAGCTGGGTTAATGACCGGAACATTGTGTTCAATGCTTCGTTCAGCTCGTTCGGCTTGCCGTGGGGATTTAACGCATTAAACATATAGTTGAAGCCTTCAAAGAGGAATTATACACAAATTAGACATCTCGTGCCATTAGCATACCTGCTAAGCCAATAACATCCAGAGTCATCTTGTTGAGCCCATTAAGAATGTTGATACGTGCGGACTCCTCGCATTTCGAGACTTCTTCCTTCCAGATGTCACGGAGCTGATTGCGATTCCCAACACTGAGTTATATCCGAAATCACTTCGAAACAAATGACCAACTTGATGCGCTTTCGTCACAAATATTTCTGTTAGCTCTCTGATCTGAGCCGGGCCAAATGCAGGGTTCTATAGAAGATTGATAATGATTCATGCTTGTGACACAGATAGGGCTTACCATAATGCGTCTCTAGCAAACAGTGAATCATAGACTATCAGCACAATACAAATTATTTTGCCACTGTGCCGGCACTATACCTGTCGGCGATGCTGGTCGCCTGATCCCTCGCTTGTGAACTCTCCTGTTCGCATTCATAAAAAAATTCTTCTAACCTTCAGCAGTCAATAAACCTTGACAACAATTTAGCACACCGCATTCTCCCTGGATGACAACCGTATTGCCAACCTTCGCCTACAGCCTGCGAGAAAACGAAGTGTTGTAATTGCGGCTTAAGATAGTCATTGCTGTGGTTAAGAACGTGGCTAATGGCTCTTGTGTCGAGGGTATAGAGTACGTCAGACTGTCCGGCATCAATGGTTACTTGCAGATTCATAACAAATCAGGCTCACGTTGAATAACACCTTATACCTATATGTTTTACCATACGTCTTGGCCCAGATACTCAGCACCGCGGACCGTTCTGACGCTCGAACCTCCTTGGCGTTGCCAAAGAACCAACTAGAGTTGGTTGGGCCAGGGAGGTCCCGTAAACTATCGGGCTTGAAGAAGACGAGGAAGATGGGAAGTAACTTCCTCAGCATGACAAACGATATAGTTGCGATGACAACAATCCAGGAAGAAGGTAGGGACCATGCATCCAACATATTTATCGACGTCGTGTTGTACCGGCAAGACGGACTGCGAAAAGAGGTATAAGTACACTGAAGATGCTGCTAGAGTCACGGTGCGTGGCAATGGCGACCGTGACCATCATCATGACTAAGTTATAGAATTAACAAGATGAGGCTGCGGACCTGCCACGGCGGTTGGCGGTTGAGAGTTCGCGCAGCTCATGCTATCTCTCGCCTTAAATAAGGGCTTTCAGTGCAGATGAGGGGCACTTACAGTTTGCAACTCGAAGTTCGTTCCGCCGCTCACTCATTTGCGTACCCTAAACTGGGCAGAGTTCTCGGCAAAGTCCGTGAGCGAGCGAACCAGACAACCGAATTAAGTAGCACATACTTACTTACAAGGCTGGCAGTACTGGTAATAATGCGTTCGCTGCTCAACCTCTGCTCTTCGGCAATCAAAACAATGAGTATGTCCTGTGGCTATGACCTCAAACGTTGAGGGCAGCATTCAAAATAGAGACAACCATAAGTAAGTAGGCCGATGTGTCAATTTTCAGTCCACGCCACGATTCGACGCAAACTGGACAACCCCGGGGGGGGAGGGTTCACGTAAGTACTTATGCACTCGATGTACCGCCTGATTGTGACGCTAACGTGCGATAATAACCGAATTACTCCAGTAAGAAGGAACAGTACAGTTGGTAACATTCATTCAAGCATCACGGGCTTGCCAAATTATATGCAGGCCTATGAATGAGATTACGGCGCCAACCGTTGGTCAAAGACGCAATTCGACTGTCTCAAGGACCCAGCTAGCCTAGATGTCAGCTTTACGTATCATCTGTTTCTCTCGATTCTCAAAGCGAATAGTTTGTTCATAGCTCCAAAATTCCATAGCACTCTGCTGCTGGGCAAGAGTCCGTCCATTCGCCACTGACATGTCTTGGGCCGGTTTCTCTCATAGCCAGCCCTCATCAGAAAAAGAGCCGCCACCACTATACACTGTACGCTTGGTAGAAGCGGGCTCGTCTGCTCTGCCCTTCGAATACGATGGCGAACTGAAGCTGCCTCTTCTGCACACTTTCTGGGACAGCCCTCTGCCTAGAGCCTTGCACAATTCTTCGAGTCCCGCGGAAAATTACCCGGAATCTCCTTACGGACGTACTTCTCATGCTCATCGTTCGGCAACAACGGATTATCATGAAGTCTCCTACTCACAACTGTGCCCGGATTTGGCTCGCTCCAGCGAAGCATCGGACGTGACAGTGTGTGATCAGAACTCAGACTTGCTCACGCCTAGAGTAGACGTCTCGCGCTACTCGTCGTCCTCGCGCCGCCATCCATGCGAAATTCTGCCTCCCGAGAACGCCTATCACGGTCAGTCCCAACCTGCGTTTTTCCGTTCGCGTCGCTGGGTTCGCTTCAACCAAAGGAAGATTAGGACAAAGCACACCGATATGCACGAGAGTAAGTCGGTCATCAACATTTTTGCGGACCGCCCGTACAGCAACAGCCTGTCAGAAGTTCCGCGCCAGCGCCGGTTCTTGCACACGCTGACATCCTCAAAGGAGATTAGCAGCCTCGCGATGCCGTTCTTGAGTAGAGTCGATCCCCTGCTTGTGGGTGCGCGCAAGACCGCTATGCTTGTCCAGGGAAAGCAGGGCCGCATGCGCTCTATGTCCTACCGGGAGCGCAAGAAGTATATGGAGCATGCCCGGATCGAAATTAATGTGACCAGTAAGCGTTATTCTTACCTTTCCGGGCCCGACCACGACACATCCCCATCTTCCAGGTCTCGCAAACCGGCAGATGTTCCTAGTCGTGCTTACCAAGGCGCTCGTCAGATTCTGCGCACCATCGCATCGACTCGAGGCGCAGCTGCTCATCGCGTCACAGATCCTCGAGGTCGAGTGCCGGTTGCTTCAGCTTCCGACGACGATGGTGCTCTGTTTCGGGGAAGATGGTGCTCCGGCGGCGGAGGTTCACATTGTCGTACGCAGCGGACAACTTAGCCTCGACTCGCTGCACCGCGTGCACCAGCTCTATCGAGAGGTTGTGCACGACAAGATCAGCGCGGAGGAGGGCGTGCACCAGCTCAATTTGCTTCTCGATGCGGAACCAGTTTACGGGCTACGTGTGCGCGGTGTGATTGCGTATGCGATCGCGGCATTAATTTGCCCATTGGCGTTTGGCGGGTCATTTGTGGACCTGTGGGTTGCAGGCAGTGGCGGGCTAATTTTGTTCGGAATGCAGGCACTAATTTCTGGAAGATCGCACGCAATTTATGCGAATGTCGTTGAGTGAGTATTGCTTGATTGAATAACGTGGATGATGTTGACTCGCCTCGGCAGCACTTGTGTTACGATATTGGTCTCGTTTGTGGCGCGAGCACTAAGTAGTATCCGATCACAGATGTTCTGTTACAGTGCCATATCGACTGCGGCCATCGTCACCATCTTGCCGGGATTCCTGGTCCGTAAGTATGGGCGAATCCATCCGTTCATCAACATAAACTGACCCACTACATTCCAGTGTGCAGCGCTCTCGAACTCGGCACGAAGAACCTCATCTGCGGGAGTGTGAACCTAGTGTACGCTCTTATTGTCACCCTCTTCATCGTAAGTGGTCCACGTGTACACTCACCGCGTAATGTCGACCCTCACGCACCCGCACCAGGCATTCGGTCTTCAAATCGGCTCTGATTTATATCTCCTGCTCGATCCCCACGCAACAAACGGATTAAACACGCTAGCAGCGCGCGAAGCCAACATAATTACCTTCGTTGGGAACACGCAGGCGGGGCTCACAGGTACACCTGCATTCATGAACACGATACCGGTGACACTCGATCACATCGTCAATGGATGTTTTCGCTCGCCGACATTCCCGTGGTACCTCCAACCGTTCCCGTGGTGGACGCAGTTTCTGCTCGTTCCTGCGTATGCACTTGCATGCGCTCTCGCGAATATGCAGCCATTCTTGTCGGTCGATATGCTTGCAATGGTGTTAATCGCGAGCGTGGGGTATGTCACAAACAAAGTGGCGAACCATTTTATCCTAGGTCATTCAGACATTGTCTCAGCTATCGGGGCCTTTTCTATTGGGATTCTGGGGAATATCTACTCACGACGGTTCAGAGGAACGGCGTTCACCGTCATGGTTCCTGGTGTGCTTTTCCTCGTCCCGGTAAGGCTGCTATCGTTGTCTGTTGTGCTCAATCAGCAGACTGATTCTTGTTTTATCCTCGAAGTCGGGTCTCTCCCAAAATGGCGGGTTGAACACCTCAGGGACAGGGATTGAGACGGGATACGAGATGGTCGCGGTCGTCGTGGGGATCGTGGTGGGGCTGTTTGTCTCGCAGGCGTTCGTCTACCTCTTCGGGAACCGGAAGAATGCGGCGTCCTTCTCGTTCTGATCATACTCTTCTCACGTTTCTCGAGGTATCTGCAGAACTGCGTGTACGATTGGCTTAGATGCAAATAAAGTCTCTCACTGCACTCTTTTGGATGATCGACGGTACCACACCGACGCGCGCTCGACAACCGAAGTCTAGGACTGCGACTAGTGAAGTCGCACATTACCATGCGATTCAGTCTTCTAAATACAGTGTGAGTATAGTTGTACATAATGGATGAATTGAAGAAGATTTGAACGACATACTACCCTTTGTTGTGCATGTTCAGGTAGCAACTTAAGTTTGTGGGTCCTTGTAGTCTTTGGCGCTTATAAAGGCCACGTGGCAGACAATGCAGCGTTCGCACGACCAAAGTCTCGCTGTCCTCGCGGTTGTCGTCTCTCGACTACTATGATGACTTGTCCAGTATCTGGCGCTGGATGATGTGCCGCTATCACTGGAACACAGATTCTATCATTGCTTATTGCACATTCTTTCTTGCTCTCAATGTCTGAACGAAACATTCAACGTTGAAGACGGCAAATTGGTCTACCAGCACTGATCGCCCGAGTCCAAGGGCGGGGATAATCTTCGCCACCCGTCGCGGCCATCCAACGTAACGGCGCTCTGCTCCCAGTCATAGGCAAGTTTCGTATGCCGGGCCGTATTACGATCTAGTTCACGCCGGAGAACTGGTGTTTTGTCTATGACGTGAGTGCACAAATGACATCTTTCCCCGGTTCAACAATCAATATTCGCTATTTATCACCCAACATTTTTATATACATATCCTACTACCAGCATTGAGGATAACAGAATGCCGAATGCAAAATAGACCAGTTCTGATGTTGGAAAATTGACGTTCTGTCTAGACGACGTGCCGCTAGTCCCTGGGTTCCCATCGGCGTCCAACCCTCAACAATCTGGCATCTCCAACGATCACTGCGGCCTTCCGCTCTCGCTCTTCTTCTTTTCCCTAAGTTCTGGGCCCATCCCTTCAGAGCATGGACATCCGCTTGCTTATCATTTTTCGTTCTTTACTCGGGTCCGCTATACACACGCCCAGATATCTGCAACACGAGGCCTCACCGGTCCTCCCATTGGTGCGTCTTTGGATGTCGTATCAGAAATTCATTAGTCTCATACCTACAGTGCTCAGGCTACCGCTGATGCCGACAGTGAGATCGGGCCCTGCAGCTCTATATAACGTGTATATGCGTCATAGATCGCGATTTCTCGCGTCCAAGCGTTGCAAAGCAATGCCTCTTTGGAAGGACGACGTCACCGACCGGCTTTCGAGTGCACCCGTATGCCTGGACGCGTCTGATCGTCTTTTCCCTCCTAGACTTCCCAGTCTGTGGCTCATCTTATGGCGTGTTTGAGCTTAGGCTTGGGCTTGATCTCAGTGCTAGCGTGTGAGCAGTTTTTTTGGGATGCTCGAATTAGAACTCGGCCCGCATATGGCCTTTCAGCCTGCTCATCTTCAGGCAACGAGGGGGTGCTTCAGAGCTTTGAGTAATCACGGAAAATATAGTCCCCAACTCGGAGCTCCCAGGATATTGCTGGACAGGTGCCTCTCGACCTGTACCCATTGTCATGCAAATAGAGGGGAAAGTTGACACACGCGTGGGCAGTTGTCGCGAGACGAATGATACTTGTATTCTGCGTATTCTTCTTCGTCGGGTGCGTGGGTCATATGTGCGCGCAAAAAGGTGGTCACTAACTGATCGGAGTCGCGGATAATAGTCGAACAATGGTGACGGCATATGCGTGCTGCTGTGAAGTACCACTGCCCCCGTAGCGCATGATGCTTGATTCTCTCACTACTCGCTACTGGTTGCGCCTGCCTGGAAAAGGCGTAGTCTCGCACCGCATGGCCGCTAATTGAAAGGTGGCAATGTCATCACTTCTGGGCGAGCGAGTCTCGGATACGATCCGGTCTGTCCGGGCAGACTCCGGTCGGTGGGTGACGCAGTGCATTTGCGCGTCTCTGGGGGAGGCTCGCTCATCGACGCTTCCTACGCTGTTAGGTCAACACACATGCGGACGTATCATCGGGTCTCATTCACAGACTCGCGGGCAAGCTCCATCCGCGCGCATGTGAAAAGCCCGCATCTGTCTTCCTTCTTTCAGTCATGGACGCGGGTCAAATACGTCACGGGCGACAGCCCATCCGCCGCTGTTGGCGCAAAGGAGACATATCGAGTCGGTTTACAGGCACCGCTCGCGGCCATCACGCAGCATATGATACGAATGTTTGACCACATAAGTGAGTTTATGAAATTCCCCCGGAAGTCGATGCTGCTCCAGCCTGCAGAGCGGCAGAGCGACGTCCGCGGGTGGACTGGTCCTGCCGGCAGCACGGTGCTGGTGCTGGGAAGCATTTGCAATAATAACTGGTACCGTCGTCAGGTGCGGTTCTATTACGACACGATTGTCTCACCCCGCCGTTGCTGGTGCACGAATGTGGTAGGAGCGAAGTGCCTCGTGGGCACATGAACATACGACCTCATACCGACGCGGGGGCAGGCAGGGTGAGGCAAATAGGGCGAGTGCCGTGTTCGCCGCAGCGCAGTGTGCGCTCAATGTGTCGCGTCGGTGGCTGTCTAGTTTAGGTAAACGCGAGGGAGCGATTTGGGCCCAAGCCTAAATGCTCATCAGGAGCTCCGCAGCTCACAGCTCGCGCCGTCAGCAGACCACGGGAGGAACTTAGCGTCTGGAGCACGCCGGGCGATGGTGACAGCGATAAAGAACATTTGCGCCGTAAATGCAACATCCTCCGTGATGTAATGGTGCGACCGCGGGGTTTATGCAGAAATGCAAACATAAACTCTCTTTTTAACGAGCGCAATCAATCAGTGGCGGAGGTAAGTTTGTTGCTTAACTTGGGAGCTTGTAGCCGACATTTTGTCCCGACAATAGGGCCACCTCCGTTCACATACGGGGTAGACGACGGGGGCGCGGCAATACCAGTGGGAGGCGACGTCACGGCCTGCGAAGCCGAAGTGGTCGGCGTGCTGTGCTAGCTTATTTCTTGTTTTCTTAATCCGTCCCCGGCGATCAGGATGACATCAACGGCGGCGGCCCTGATGCGGCGAGCGCCTGGAGATCTGGTCGTTCATTCTAACAGGTTCCCGTATGCGTGGATCTGCGACGCGCATGCGTGTGAGACTAGAAAGGACCCCAGATAATTCTGCTGGACCCAAACTCCCAACACCAAATCGACTCTGCAAATGACACAGCCGGTTTAATTTCCCGACTACGTTACACGAATTGATCGTGAGTTCTGATTGTACATGACATTTTCCCTGCTCATGTGATCGCCTTACCGGCCTTGCCAAAATTCATTTTGTATATTTCGAGGGTGTTACATTTTCAGGCAGCCACCGGCCGAAGCGGGCAGAAATCCGGCCTGGCATAAATCGTTGGATGGCTGATCTTTTGATGAAAACTGTTGAGGATGGATTGTCAGGGGTCCCTCGCAGGACTGTCTGGCTATTGCAAACTAGGGACAATGATGACGCGACGCTCCGGAGTCCGGAGGACAGTTTGGAAATTTGGGAAGGGGAATGAATCAGTGAGTGCACAAGCGCGGCGCGTTGCCTGAGCCGATCCGGAGAAGCAAGGGAAAGAACTCTATCTTATCACGTTGGCATTGACGTAGACGCTGTGTTCTGAATCTGAACAGTGCCCATATGTGGAAGGACGTGTTACGAGCATGCTATTTGGCCCGGTTCCATCGAAGCAACATTGGGATCGAGACACTCGCTACGAATGGCGGGCGACGATTCTCCGGTGTGTGGCATGGCCAACAGACACCCTGAGTGGTGTCCTGTTCTCGCTCTGGCTGGTGCAGATCACAGCACCCTGAGCTCATACCCGTGGGCACGAGGACCCTGTTCATGTCCGTCAAGCCAAGGTGGGGGCGATGGAAGGCAAGTACAAATTTACGGGCAGATCTATCGAGGTGAGTTTGTCGACGGCGCCAGTTGCTACTACAACGCTAAGTGAGTGGTCGGACAGCGACCGGAGATACTCGGCGAAGGAAAAAGTCGGTCGGAGGTGGCTGAGTCGCTGATGCCGCATGGCCGCATGCAAAATGTCAATCTTTGTGCGGAGTTTGAGGGAGTCCCTTAAATGGGGGGCGTGCGCTGGAAGCAGGCGACTTGATACACGTAGACGGGTGAGAAACAATTTAGCCGCGGTGCTGTACCCCGGCCTGGGCTCCGAGGTTCTGCCTGGGGGTGCGTCATGAGCAAGGTTAGTCCTCCGCTGGAATGAAATCAGATAGGATGACGCGAGGACATGTGTGCCGTTGCTCGTCCAGATGGAGATCCCGATTGCACCCTGCCTGTGCCTCCTCGCAAACTCTATGCCCGTTATCGTCGGGCAGATCCTCGATGCGACGCTTTCCTCTCGCCGTATATAACCCCTGCGACCAACGTCATGTCCTCCGCGTTACGTCCCGTCTGTCCGCGCTATTCTACCTACACACACCTGCGGTTCTTACTTCGACCGTATCTCGTTCCTCACCACACCATATCCCGTCGACGCCATGCCTTCGACGTCCACTCAACCACAACTGTCCTTGCGTCACGCCACGATCCCCGCTCTTCGTATGTCGTTGTCGTTGTCTGCACGACCTTAATGCGCTTACATACCCTACACAACCTCGTGAAGACCTCCGCGATGCGCGCGACGCACACATAGTCTTTGAGGCTGTCCGCCAGAACGTGCTACCCCTCATCACGAAGCGTCTCTCCGCCACGGAGCGTGACCAGGTCGAGTCTGGCAACGTGTTTGTCTGGGAGGAGGCCGAGCATAAGCAAGGTATGTCCGCGTGCGCATTTCCGCGCCGTGCACGACGAGGTTGACTAACGCATCATGCGCGCAGGCGGATTAGAGCGGTGGACAGACGGCCGGCGATGGTATGTTACCCGATCTACTCGTAATGTTAGGCTGCGGGGCTGATCGGGGCTGTTCCTGCTTGTAGGTCGCAGAGTCGCATGCGCGGCGACTACCTCTTTTACGAGGAAAAGATCGAGACAACACCAGAGGAGAAGGCTGCAAAGGCTGCTCGTAGGTTAGTTGTGATGCATGTGTGCCTCTGGAACCGGTGTTGAATGGAGCACGCGATTAGAGCACGCAGAACACTCGACCCATTCAGCTACCAGCCAACACCCACCCGCCAGGACCGCCCATCCAAGCCAGACGGGCTCACAAAGCAGACATACTCGACCCACGTCTACACTAGCCAAGCTGAACCACGTAAGTGGCACATCGTCGCGTACTTCTCGGTACGTCCAATGTCTTCGTCTTCAGTCACGGCTCTGACACTGACATCGTGCTTCCAGGGCGATGACTACACCCGGCTACCGGTTGTTGAGGACTACGACTTCCTACGCAACCTCCGCCTTCCCGATGGCGTCTTCGCCTCACCACGTGCAACTACCTCAACCCGAATCGCGCGTCCTCTTGGGCCAGACGCGTCGAACAGCTCATCGTCAGCACACTGGGGGCGCGATCCGTGGGGGCTACCCTCTTCTCCGTCATCACCTAGCGCGAGTCAAGTGTCCTCGCCCATTGACCGCCCCGAGTCGTCCTCCTCATCCTCCTCTTCCACCTCGTTATCCAACTCCTCGACGTCCTCATCGCTCTCGTCATCCACCACAGCGTCGACGACATCGAGCGCATCGTCATCACCACCGCACGGAAGCAGTTTTAAGACGCTCCCGCGGCTCTCCAACATTGTCCCCATCCATCCCCTCAGCCCACCATTGTCGCACCGCGTCTCGGCAGGTGGCTCGGGGAGTTCGAGCAGCGGTGGCGGTTACGCTGCGCTTACGTCGGAAGACCGGAGAGCGCTGAACAGTTTTAGGGTCGTGTTGTGAGGCTGCGACATTGTGTTGGTGGCATCTGCTGTATACGCACATATCTAGCTGTAATCTTTGTTTTTACTCATTGGGCATCATGCATTATTGGCACTGCTTTTCTCTTTTCGCTTCTTTCTGTGTGGGCATCTAGGGACATGGGACATACTGTACAGGGCTTTAGAGGGCATATAGCATGGCATGGTCCAGGCCGGCGACTCGGGTTCGAAATGGAAATCCGTCACGACAGCTCTCTGTCTACGCGCCGTGTGATTACAGCTGCGGGCTGCACACGTACATGTATGGGCGGCAGACGGCAGATAGCGGGGGTTGTAGAGGTTGGATGACAGATGCCAGGACGCACAAATGGATCACGAAAGGTTCCATTTAGAACAAAATTCAGTGGGTACGGCATAGCCAGAGTCATGCGCCGTGCATGTGTGTGGCGTACGGGTGGACCCTGCGCGGACGACTGAGGACAGCTTCGGAGCCGAGCCGCCTGTTAGCCCAAAAGGGTTCAAGAATTAAGGCCATAATAGTCACGGTGAGCGCGCGGACGCGTAGCGAGCCAAAGGCATCTTTCCAGTATGCAAAAGGGAAGGAGGAGGGTGGCCGCTCCGGAGGGCGTGATTAGATGACAGATCTTGCTTCTCAGCCCTGTCCTCACAGACGCAGCATTCTATGGCAGCCCGCAGGGGGCGAGGACGGAAGAGCACACAATTATCCCACATGTTGCACAGGATAGGACCGTGAGTACGCACTAGGCATGGTCTAATCCGACCTTCCGATCCCCGATCTTACCCTCCTTCCCAGCGAGCCAGAACCCCCCATTCACAGCTGAGAGCTTCTGAGGCCATATTTGAATCCGAGCGTGATGGGACGGAACGTGAGGCAATGATGTCAGTGCCCAGAGCGTGGCTGAGAGCGCCGATCGTCCCTGCCCGCTGCACGAACAAGGTTCGTGCACTCACTCGTTGACCGGCCTCTGCAAGAATACGTCAGTCACTCAGCCAGTCATTTCATCCTCGATGATCTCGTGTGCGTGTACGTCACGTTTAGGGGCGACAATCCGGGGGCGAGCGCAATCTCTCCAGTTCAAATCAGGAAGACATTGACATCAACCAACGTCAGGAGGTATGGACAGCGGCTAACCAAGCACGGAATAGATCTATAGACACCACCTCCAAGATACGCGCAAGCATCACGACACTGGCTGCATCCTGCCGAATCCGCGAACAGCAACCCTTAGCATCTCGCAGCCCTCCCCGGTCTTCGGTCAGCTCGCCCGACGAAGAAACGCACCTAGTTCACCCCGTAAACTCTGCCCAATTGATACCCCGTGTGCAGCGTTCGCGTAGGTCCCTGCCGAGCCCCCGCACATCCGATAGGTGGCGCATCGTGGGCCGCCCGTGCGGGCAATGCCATGGCTGGTCCATAGTGCCCATATGACGGATCACCTGCCAGACAGACATACGGACAGATGGTCAGCGATGCGCGATCCCTGCAGCAGCGTGTGTACAACGTGTATTTTCGATACAGAAGAATGGGATTGTGGGATTATGGCATGAACAGGGGTGCATGGAGAAGGGAAGGGGAAGAAAGCCCGAAAGAAGGAAGAGACGGGATGAACAGAAAGTGAATGGACGGGTGCACTTACTGATACCATCTGCCGCCGATTCAGTGGATGCCCAACCATAACGCTTCGGCGACATGCACGCATCGCGAACATCGCACGCGCCTTGGAGCAGCGCACAGGCTGCCCACCGGGTGAACGGTCCTGTAGCAGGTGTAGGAGTTCCTCCAGGTCTGGTGCAGCGGTGTCAGTACTCGGAGAATCGTGGAGGTCGGTGGAATGGAGAACACTGCACCAACCTTTGACATCAAAAACCGTCTCCTTACTGGTAGGCTGCGCGATCAGCTGGAGCCGACGCGCTCCTCCGCAGCCATCGTCCGGGGAAAGCTCCACCTCGAACCCATTCTGCTTTAACACATTAACGTTTTCCCTCGCGAGCAATTCATCTGCCGCGGTCAGCTCCAAGGGGAGTGGCCTAGTGGTGTCGCAATTCAATCAATCTATCAGCATTCATTCAATAGTGAATCCGACCAGCCCTTCTTTTCGCAAAAGGCAACGAAAGAAAAAAGAGACAAGCACACGAGACATACCTAAAGAGCCTCTGAGATTTAATCACCGTCGTCTGTTGGAGCGTCTCAAAATTGTATTTCTCGTCTGCGGCGTGCTGGTCCACAATGAACAGGTCATCGTCGTCAATTTTATCGAGACCATTTTGGCGTGTACTGTCGTCGGCGTCCGTCCGTCGCTGACGGCGGACAACGATGAACCCAAGGTTGAACTGTCCGACAATATCCATAACCGCAAAGTCCGTCTTGTCGATCACCCGTGCGAGCGCCTCGGCAACCGCGCTGTCGTCCGCGGCCCTTGTTACGCCTGCATCTGCCTTCGTCTTTTCAATCGTGGCTGCAACCGATTGCGAGCACACTCTTTCAGCGACAGCAGCAGCAGGGGAACTTTGAGAGCCCACGTCGCGTAAAGATGTCCACGCGGACGAAATACGCGAAAAATCGACGCGGAGTGGCACGTCTTCGTTCTCAGCGGTCCGCACGATCTCTGGACGTCGAGAGACAGTGGTGCTCGATTCGCTCCGTGGGCGAGGATGCCCTGACTGTGTTGAGAAACGTTTGATGTCCTCGACATCCGATGAGTAATCTGTGTTGTCTGCGAGATCTGTCAGGTCGATAATATCAGGCTGTGATGGTTCTGAGAGTATCGGTGTGCCTGTAAGGACGAATTCTCCGACTTCTTCGCTGTCCAGGTCCATACCTGCAGCCCCATTGACGTTCGGCTCGGGCTCAGGCGAAAGATCGCCTGCGTCCATGGGCTCGTCCTCAAGCAGCTTACAGTCCTCGCCGGCATCGAGCTCGTCTTCTTCATCCCTATCTGCACCCCCATCTTCTTCTGCATCTGCCGCCTGACTGCCCGCACTCGCAAATGCCCTGAGTTTCGCCCTCAGATCTTGCCTCGCACCTTTACCTTCCCTGGGATCATCCGAGCCACTACCACCACTAACCTTGCGTCTCTTAGAATTGACGGGGCCTATCTGATCCTCCGCAGGCCGCCGCAAGTTCCACGCAGCTCCTGCAGTACTGATAACCATCTGCACGCGTCGAGAGTCCGTGCGCGTGCTGGCGTCTGCGCTCGTCTCCCGGTGAGGCCGCGGAGGAGCAGCCATTGGGTGATCGACCGCTTCCCTCTCATCAGCTGCTACAGAGGTATTCTCACCGGACGCAGTACTCGTGTCCGGGTATAGAGCAGCATGGCGAGGGGGTTGGAGCGCGTCTCCGACCTTGTCCAAGTCTGGCGGCAGCTGGGACTGAGAGGCAGAAGGCGAGCCGGATTGGGCAATGGCAGTCTGGAGCTGAGTCACAGTTAGAAGCGGGGACGCGGTGCCTGGGGGAGCCTCGGATCCCGCGGCGACAATGCTTGCACCTGGGCTGTGGTCTGCCTCGGTCTCCATGGAGGACCCTGCTGGCGTTCCATCTCCGGGCGTCTTCTGACATGCTGCATCTCCGACGCGAAGCCCCGCGGCTTCCTGAGCTTCCGCTGCTCTGGGCCTCCCCTCTCCCCCTTCTGGCGCCCCCTCGTCATCGCCCAAGAGCAGCACCGGATCACCAAACTGCTCGCTGCCACATGCCGTTGTGTCCTCGCTTGCCATCGGTAGCGGTGCCATGCTGCCAGGCTCGTCGTCCTCGTCCTCGTCCTCGTCCTCGTCAATGAACAGTGCTTGCGCCTTGACAGACACACCAGCCATCCGTGTAGGCTGGGAATGCACAGCCTGCGAAGCGGAAGCAGCACTGACGTCGTATGTTGCCCGCGAAGGTGCAAACTTCTGCTCTAGAGCAGCCTATCCAGCATAAATGCAAACATTTCAAGAGCGTCAGTATGTCAAAGACACGCGGCGGCACGGTCCGGAGGCACGCTAGGCGCACGGGCCAGGGTACATGACCGCATTGCAAGAATACCCACCTTCAGGGCCTGCACGAGGTTGTTCTCGCTATGTAGTAGAATCGTCCGCTTGTCTGGGCTCACGTTCACGTCGCACGACTCTGAATAATGACAAGATCACCATGCAGTTAGTCACGCGGGAGATACGAGAGCATGAGTTGATAGAGGCGTGCAAGCGAATAAATAGAGACGGTCTTGCCATAACAAAAGCGGCAGACTCGAGTGACGATCGAGATGGTTTCACGAGGACACGGTTTACACTACTCACCTGTTGGAAGATTGAAATTAGCAACGATGAACGGCGATTGGGTCGCATTGAACGTCCGATACACCTCGTTAAACGCTTTTTGCACCTAAAAACATACCGGTAAGTCGTATATCCATTAATGCGGCGACTCAAAGAAAATTGCATACCTTGGAAGGGTTACACGGGCGACCGTTGACGAAAAAGAACTGCCGGTCAGTCCCGTTCCGCCCGCACCCCACCGAAAACCGAGATATCAGCCCTTGCACATGGACCGTGTTCGACTCCCTGCACGCCGACCCGTTCACTTGTAAGCATACACCTGTCCAGCCAGGTCAAAAGCTTTAGCACTTGCCCATCCGCATCGATAACCCCGCGTCTCCTAAGTACCGCGCGCTCCGTCTCGACGTCAAAATTAAAATCAAGCTCGACGAGGTGTTCGAGCGCCTTTGGGCCCCAGAGCGCCGAAACGGACGCACGCATCGAGGGTGCCCCATCCGTGCGCATTTGGACCGACTTTTTCCTATAAATAGCGCATGTATGCACCATACACGGTCAAGGACACATGACGACTGAGGATGAAGCCTAGTGCGATAGACGCACCCATTCCCGGTTTGGTGTGTCACTGTAAGACGCACGCCGTGGTTTTCTTGTGCACAAGGCACAAGCGCGTATGCAGAGAGCAGTGTTAATGCCTTGCCAAACTCGCGCTTCGCATTCCGCTCAAGCTCTTTGCGTCGTACAGGTAACGGCTTGAACAGCCCTATTATGCAGATTGTTGTGCCTCGCTGTGTGCGGCGCCAGATGCGATGGAGGGGCGACGAGATCAGTGTTGAGCGGAAACCAAAACATATGTGCGGCACACCTGCCTAGCTACTTTGCCATCGCGACGTGCGACGCGTCCAAAGCGATCGAGCTCGAGCACTGTGCCCATCGGCGTGCATTGCGCCGTTGCAGTCGTGACCGTGACCTGTTCCGCAAGCGCACACAGCGACGAGAGTGCCTCACCTCGGAAGCCAAACGTGCGCACGGATGTGAGGTCAGAAAAAGAGGAGAGTTTTGAGGTGTGGTGTTTCAGCCCTAGTTGGTCGATAAGCGGTGGTTATGGTGTTGTTATTTATTTCGATTGTGCGTGCATTGGGGAGAAAGGGAGGGAATGATTGACGTCAGAGTCGCGTCGTTGCAATGGTCAGAGGCCTTACCGATACTGTCGTAGTCTCCCGGCGCGATCCCGCTCCCATTGTCGACGACCTCAATCGCAGCGAGGCCGTACTCCTTGAACCGCACCTCTAGAAAGTTTTCGAGTACGACGAACACGACGAAACGCCGCGAACATCAGAGAAACATGACAAATAAATATGTCATCAGCGAACACTGATTTAGACTCAAGTAGCGCCAAATTTGCCAGTATAGGCACATGAGCACACTCACCGATGGACGTCGCCTTCGCGTCTAGGCTATTTTCCACAAGCTCCTTAACGGCCGTCTGCAAATCAATCACAACCTGTCCCGACGCGATGCGGTGGACAGAGGTCGTGTCGAGCGCCTTGATTGACTGAGCTGGACCTGCATTTGTAGGCTGAGTAGATAAAGGTGGGATCTGTGATATTTCTGATGTTGTTTTTAGGGAAGTAGGCATGAGAGCATGGAGGACGGTGTTGTGGTGTCGCCTTCGTCGTCGTCGGGTCGTCTCGTCGGTGGCGTGCGATACCAATTACCGAGTCAATTCAAGCGCCCGATACTCCGCGATCACGTGGTGTGTCGGGCTGACGCGCCTGCGTGTCGCTCTCCTAAGTGTGCCCCTGTGTCCGAGTTTCAGCGGCGGCACGCTACTCTGCTTCCAGCGGGTAAGATTCAAAGCATGTTCCATCCCCTAATAATGCAAGACATCGCTTTTTCTTTCTTTCTTTCTGGCTCGCTCTGTTGATTCTCTACCTCGGCCTCAAACATTGCTACCAGATCAGCATGCAAGCACGGATTCTCAACGCCCAATAGTGATCCACATGGGGGAAACTTAACCTGTCAATTCGAATCAGGTATTTGGAAGCGGCGGCTTTGCGGTCGCCTCGGAGATGAATGAGATCTTACGCCGCCCTGGTTATCTCAACGCAGGGGCGGGCGGACAGCGTCTGAGAGCACTCTATCAAGATCGTAAGATTCTTATGGTATTCCTTTGTCAAAAGAGGACCTCGTCCTGATTTTATTGGTATCTTATTAGAGTCGAAAGGATTTGAATGCAATTTATTACATGATTTTGCGCTCTCGTGCTATTTGGGCCAAGCTGCGGTAGACTCGGAGGTACGTGCGTTTCACTGATTTTTGCCAATATCGGCGGATATATGCGTGGCCTGTGTTCTAAGCCATTGAAGAAGAAAAATTCTCTAAGTCTCATGGCTCATGCAGCAAGTACCTCATGCCTCATTTTACTATCACTCATGGGAAAAGCCATACTGGTGACCCCTGGGTTGGACGTTCTTCATTGCGTCAAAGCCAGTTCCGACCTTATGTTACGATCCATCGGCTCGATCCTATTATTTAATCTATCTTCATGCTACTGACTCGAGTTTCAAATACAGGCAATTCAGCGAGGGATTGCTCCAGACCTCACTCAGACAGAGACTCCGTACAAATTCGGCTACTGCACCTTCGTCGTTGCTGGCGCCCAACGCGCCGAGTCTGGTGACAAGGACTACCCCGCCACGATGCGCACGCTCCTTTCTATGGGTCGTCCACCAGACGCGCCCGACATCGTCGGACTCACCGCATTGCACCATGCCACGCAGAATCCCGCAGGTTGTGCGCTGGAACTCGGGCGTATCCTATTGACCTCGGGGGCGAATGTCAATTTCCAGAACCGCTATGGTGAGGTCCCCCTCATGGGTCCGTGCCAGAATAATACAATCGATGCGATCGAACTCCTGATGGAGTTCAACGCGGACGTCGACATTAAGGAGGCGGATGGGTTATGCATCAGGGATATGTACCTGAGGATGGGTCTGCAGGTAACCGCGTCGATCACCAAGTGGCTCAGGAAGCGCACGGGTGAAGAGTTGCCCATGACAGAGAAGAAATGTGACTCGTGCGGGAAGAAAACTGCAGCGCATGGATCCCTTAAGATCTGTTCCAAGTGTCACGCAGTGCGGTACTGCTCCCTGGAGTGTCAGCGTAAGTGGACCGGTCAGAGCTCCGTACTCCGCATTTTTGAAAGCCACAATCACGTTACAGGCTCGCATTGGCCAACGCATAAGCGGACGTGTTCGCCATTCACCACCACGAATTCTGTGACAGTGCGCCCGAATTACCGTGCGATGACCCAGTCGCCCATCTCGACCGCCTACGCGACGCGCGTTGCGATGGGCATACCTTCACCGCCACCACCCGGTACTGCTAGACCACGCGCAGGTGCGTGCGCACCGCGCTTGTGTCCAGGTGAAGTCAAGGCGATGATCATTAAGGTCCAGCTACCGCAAAAGCTGTTTGGCATGGAGACCGGCAGCACGCTCAGCGGGGACTTGATGGTGTACAACAAAAAGCGCGATTTTTTGTGCACGCTCACGAAGGCGGAGAATCCGGGAAGCTATGCGCGGTTGTTTGAAGTCGTGAAAGAGAAAGGCGTTGGAGGTTGCAAGGCATATTTTCCCGCGGAGCTGAGAGCTCAGTATGAGCTGGTGATAAAGGTCGGGGAGGTTCTTGCTGAGCAGCCATTCTAAGCGTAGCGGTTCCAACTAGATCCAACATGTATCATATTTTTTGTGCCGTGGCATGTAGCTTTGAACTTGGAGAGTGATCAATTGTGCCTTGTGGATATCTCACGATACGATATCACGGGAGGGTTGTACTGAGTACTTGAAGATGCGTATTCTTCAGCGTATATATTTGTCCGCCGAGATGCTACCTGATGTTTCAACATTTCTCTCGAAATGAGCAGAGCTTATTGAGGCATCGCGATCTGTCGAGCCCATCTATTCTGCTCCTGTGTGGCAGTTGGATTTTGAGATACTTTGTGTAGATAGTCGGCATGAAACTAAGAAGACTTTCATAACTCACCATCCGTGGAGACAATGACCATCGCAAATCATACAGCCGGTCTCCCAAATCAAGCACGTTTCATCTTGAGGCGATGTCCTCGAGAACTAGAATAGTACCACTTTTTAAAACCACAATTTCCTGAGACAATAAGTCGATGGAGTGGTCATGAGAGAAGACAATTTCTCTAATCCTTCGTCTCTGAGATTCAAATGTTCAGAACGATCGGAGTTGATCCCAAGGTGCTGGTCCACGGGCGTCAACGATTTTCAGAGCGCGTCATGAAAGAAGTTCCTACTTTTTCAGTCTTCGTTCTATAGTGCGGTAATAAATGAAGCGGTAAGTCCGACATCTTTTGAAATTCAGTGTGTACCACTAGCAGTGAACTTGCTGGAACTGAAATTGTATCCAGGGCATACCGTTCATGCAGCGATGCCGTCGCGAAGATTCAACTTGGCATGGCAAGCAGATCTCCCTTGAAGTACGTGCCAGTCGATGCATCTATGTTCCAACTTATAAAATGCGATAACCCTCAGAAGGCTCGTCGATATGAATTTATCATGGCACAGAAATTGTGCGTACATACCTATCGTCTTGCTCATATTCCTTCTCATTCTCGCCAAACACATACACTTCAAACGAGTGAGTCTTACTTCATCCATTCAACTTGAAGATGAAGAACTTGAAGATTGCGAATTCAGGTTGAAGTCCGGAGCCCGAGCAGACTCGGTGGCAGCTGACGCGGAGCGGGAAGACGGTGGCGGCCACTGGCGGCTGTCACCATTCTAGGCTTTCGCTTCCAAGAAAGGAAGGTGGGTGCCTGGCGTGCCAAGACCTCTTTCCCCGGTCTCGCTCCTCCTCGCTCTTTCTCTCGTCGACGGCGACCACCTCCTCGTCGCTGTCTCCGCTGTCCTCGTCGCCCTGCCCAACACGATCACTCCCGGGCACTGTCATTCGTTCTGATTCGTTATTTAAATCACAGTGCTCAGCTATCTCAATTCCCGCAGCCGCCCAGCTGATATGCCATTCCCCCTCTCTATCTGCCAGCGGCATCCTAGATATGTCGTCCTACTCGCCGTGCTCGTCTTTGGGACATTCGTGTTTATTTCTCCCAATGATACCTTCTCATCTCACCTGGGCTCGTACCAGATCAACCGCCTCGTCGACCTCGATCTCCCAGACAGGGTCGCTCATGCAGAGACGATGTACGAGCGCACGCTTGATCGTCGGCAAGATATGATCAAGAAATTTGGGCCCAATCCCAGCCAGGTCGTCATGTATGTCCACATTGTATTTTGGTCTTGTGTTATGCGTATGAATCAGTGCGCTTTTTTCACAGGTTCCCCCCGGATCGTGAGCCGTGGCCTGCATACACTGTTTGTGAGTGTCTTTACTCCTGATTTTTTTTGGGTACACTGGTGTTTTGCTGTGTATGGCTTGGTTGCGCGGGCGCATTATGTATACGAAGAATGGACAATGTCTGGGCAGCACGCCGATCATTGCATAAAATATCTGCTCTGATTTTCTTTCCTCACGCTCTCCTTGATCGCTAACGGAAGTAATTTCCGTAGGGGATTTTTTCCCTCCAGCTTTCAACTGCCCCCATGAAGTCGAGAGGATTGGCGCCCTCGGAGACGGCGGCAAATGGGTCTGCGGACTGTCGCGCTTGGTGGACAAACCAGACTGCGTTGTGTATTCATTCGGTGTGTGTCTCATCTGATTATACCAGTTGCATGCTCATTCTCACCCCCTACAGGCCTTGACTGGGAGTCGTCGTTCGAAGCTGAGTTGCTCGAGCGAACACGACACTGCGAAGTCTGGGGCTACGACTACACTGCGCGGGGTTTCGGGCGCGCCGTGCGGTCGGGCCTGCGCCCGCGTACGCACTTTGCGCGTCTTGGAATGGGTGCGTCGGATTCGCACGGTCCATCTGACGAGCCGAAGATGTGGACGCTGCAGAGCCTGATGAGGGAGAACGGGCACACACATGTCGACCTCCTACACATTGACATTGAGGGCTGGGAGTTTGAGGCGCTTCGCGCGATGGTGCGCGACGTTACAGTCCACGCTGCGGTCGAGGGCACCGAACGCGCGGTACTGCCGTTCGGGCAGCTCCTAATTGAAATGCACATCTGGCACCAGCGATTTGATGATTTCTTGGCATTCTGGGAGTTGCTGGAGGGAGTGGGATTGCGGCCGTTCCGGTCGGAGGTCAACTTGGTATATGCCAATTACAACCGCCAGAGTGGGGTTGAGCTTGCAGATGTACGTTCTATCGTTTGCCTTCGCAATCCTTGGTTAATTTGTTTGCAGTATTCTTTTATCAACATTAGAGGCGACAATACCTTTGTCTCCGACGGTCCCGCAAAGGGACTTCCTGCTGCTGGCGATGCTGTTGTCGACTCAGAACGGGACGGACAGGCAGACGAGCCGGACGTCCGGATGATTCGACACGCGGCTGCTGCGGTAGACCCGTAGATTCTGTTTTCTACATTCTGAATACTGAGTTGCGATGATATAGACAAGGAAGCAGAGAATTGTAGCCGACCGCTCCTCGCGGGTTCCCTCCCACACATTCTGATCACTCATTGCGCTATATATCATCCGTCGATATCTAGCCGCTTATCTTGCATCATCCCTACCTCGTATCACACAGCTACATCATGATCGACATACATACCCTCCCCGGATTGACACAGCCTATCATCACTACTGCTAAAGCTCTACATCTAGGGCCTTCCCGGACTCTCCGATTAGCGCACTCATACAGCCTGCTACTACATGCTCTGTGTTTGCTGTGTATTTGTGATGTGTACTATTTATCGAGATGAGTTTGTATGAGAAGGCCTCTGTAAGAGCTATGTCTCAAATCCAGCCACTACTATAGTGTTGGTAATCTGCACCCCTTAAGTAGGGCTTCAAAAGAGTCTGCAGTCACAGTATTCATCACCCATTTGGGAAGCATAAGACAGATCAATGTACATATGAGGGGTTATTATGGGCTGAATTGAAGTCTCAGAGGGTCTATTTGAACAATTGGTACACTTTTTGGAAGGAAATAAAACATGTGCAGTATGTAGAAATTTGATATGAATCATGAATAAGCCTTCCGCGACTAGTGAAAGATAATGTTGGTTTTACCACGATTGAGTCGGCTCAACGTGTCCAGCCTTGAATCTTAGTCGGGCCACGAGGACTGTATCCCAATATCCATCCAGGGAGCTCACCAAGGAAATCTTACTCCTACCGTCCGTGATCTTATTCACAGATGGCTGTGAGACTTTTGTGTCGGTTGATAAGGGATCAGTGGTGATGGCGAAATGTCCCCATGGTTGCCCGATTTGCGGATGAGGGTGTGGGATAAACAGCAGCTATGACAGGTTCAGAGAAATGCAGAGGACCAGCGGCTGCGCACAATAACCCCAACGCACCTTGCCATCTTCATGGTTATCACTCACAAACAACGCGTGTTTCTTTGCCTCCAACGTCCCAGTAACTAGGTACATTTGAGTGTCTCGAATTGAACACAACATAACGTAGAACCTCACCAAGATAGAGATCTTCTCGTGAGATATGATATTGCTTGCCATAGACGTCCACGATAGTGTTAATATGCTCCATAAACCAAGTCATCGCAGGTTGAAGCGACGACATGAAGTAACGTTTCGTCGACTTTGTCAAGAGATACGCTTCCACGCGTCCCCCACGCAACACGAAAGATCTGTCGCTCTGTTGAGCAGAAACAGTAGTCCAAGGTGAAATTCGTAATAGGTCCATTCCACGACGAGGAACATCGCGCTTGACATCTCGCAGATGAACCATCTTAGTGTCGCCGTACGTCTCCAATGATCTTAACACTGCTCCTTCAGGAATTTGGGTGGGTTTAAATGCATTGAAAAGGGTTATAAACTCTCCACGTTCTTTTGAGAGAAAACCAACCGCTCCTGGTACGATGTGTGTAGGATGCCAGAGAGCGAGTGTAACTGTGAAGTGGATTATTAGTGAACGCAAAGACTGAACAGGTTTACAAATACCGCACGACTCGGGTGAAATTCATGTCGTAGCTCCTCTCTGTACAATGCTTCCCGGTGGACATCATAGACGAGCGGTGAGGACGGATAGGAATCGTGCGTTGTAGGCAGTACGCTGAAGTGTGAAATTGCTGAAGGAGTGTGGCTCCGATACGATGTTCGTATAGAATCCGTTATTGTGGACGACTCTGGCAAGCCATCGCGCAATGACTGGAGTTTATAGTCACATCGCTCGGGGGAATCTAGAGGAGATATTCCAACATCTCTGGTCATAGATCGGAACTGCCTAAGCCCTTTGAGTGTTCGCACTATGCTTTGAAACGCCGGTCTGTGCGACTCATCGCGGTCCCAGCAGGATTGAATAAGGGTCGCGAGTGGCGACGACCAGTTTGCTTGGACTTCAGGGATTGGTGGCCTCCTGTTTTCCACTGTGATAGCATATGTGAGCACGGGCCGAATTGGCTACATACCTACACATACCTATAACAAGTTGGCGTAGTATAATATCGCTCGGAGAATGACGCCAGGGTAATTCCCCCTTTGAGAGTATCTCGACACAACAAATTGCAAACGAGTAGACATCAGTAGCCTCCGTCAGCCCTGAAGTGCCAGCCATGAATTCGGGAGCTTGCCACTGTAATGTGCCATCTAGAGAATAGTGTTATTATACTGAAATCATTTGGGCCAGAGCTCGCACCTGGTGGTGACTTGCGGCTCAGGCGATATACTTCAGACTTCAACCTACTCATCCCAAAATCTGCAATGATGCAACGCCCCTGATCGTTAATAAGAACGTTTGTTCCCTGTTCAAATTTTATGTTTAGACAACACGGAATGCGGGAGAATAGCATACAGAAATACCATACCTTCAGATCACCATGTAGTATTTGTTGCCGGTGCAAATAGTCCATCCCAAGAGCAATGTCATGTATCATCGCAGGTGGATCAACAAGGTCTAGACTTGGAAGGCGACGCAAGTATGTGACAAGATTCCCCTCGGCGAAGTATGGGCTAACAAAGAACCAGGGAGGGTCGCTCGACGTTGAAGAAGCACCAATTAGCTTGAGCACTAGCGGATGCTGCAGATTTCTCCATATTTTCACCTGTCAGATATCACATTAATCAAGAGTTGAAGGATGAGTATAAGTCACCTCACTTCCTTCACGAAGAGATCTCTGGGGGCAAATCTAGCAAGAACTTTTATGGCAACCACTTCACCCTTCCAAGCCCCCTTGTAAACGTCAGAAAAATGACCGTACCCGATCTGCTCTCCACGTTCGACCTCAAATCTCGAGATTGTCCATGGTGGCAACGGCTGACCATCACTCAGTCTGGTTAAAACGTCTATGCTGCCTTGTACAAATTCTTGGTCGAGATGGCTCCATGTAGGAATCAGAGGTGATCGAGAGGCCATAGGTGAGTGAATTGGATTGATATGTCCCTGTTGCACTTCTGCAGAAATGTCTCGGAGAGCACGCAGGGCCTCTGGTATCTCATCTCGTCGAACTTGTAATAACTTGACCATTTCGACGTCAGAATGGGACCGCAGAGCATCGTGCAAGATTTGTCGTAAGTCTGCATAATCATGAAAAAAATCATCCTCTTCTTGGCGCGATGTGACGGCCTGCATCTGCTGACGAGCCTCCTGCAGGCCAACTCGTTTTGTTGTACTATCTTGTGAACCGCTTGCGAACCCATGCGCACTGAGCGAAGATGATGATAGAGTACGAACCACCGGTGTCGCAGAGGGTGGCTTCGCGATTCGTGATTCTTTTTCCATCTGCATAATTACCTTGAAGATGTGCATTGATATGGCAATCTAAACAAGTCGTTGTGAGTCAATGTTGATATAAAATCCCATGGGTCATACATGAAACATCCAAACAACTTGATCCAGCTGATGAAGACAATCTTGGATATTTTGACGAATCTCATCTCGTCGAAAGTACCGTATCAAAAATGGACGACCGTTCTGTTTCTTCATGAAAGTCTCGATCTGGGCGAAAGCTCTGTCATAAGATTTGGTGCAAACGACTGAGCAACTACACGCAAAAAGTAGTATCACGACGTACTCTGTTAAGCGAAGTATAGGATTGCGCATCTCTTCCCCCACCTCTCCGCCTGCTTCGATTATCTCCGTGTATATTGCGGAAAGAATTGTGGCACTGCGATCTGTGAGCCGTAAACAAGCAGCTCTATTCATCTAGAGAAAAATCTTGTAAACACATATGCATCAGCAATGTATCCCGGGACGCACATCGACAGCTTGTAAATCATCCCAGATTCGTAGTAAAGCCTTAGCTGCGCCACTCAGTTCCTCTACATGAGTAGTCGATAACAACTCCGCGCCAACAGAAAGAACTTCGTAGGCAACATTGGCTGTGATACCCAATATTCTCGAAGCTATGTCCATAACTCGCTGTTTCTAAGTCAGCACTCAATCAACCGGAATGACTGTGATACATATACCTTTCCCGTGCTGTCTAAATCGGTCTTAGTAGCTCCATTCTTGCCATGCTCTCCCCATGGCCGTCGGTTTGGTTCGAGAGAGGTCCACCATGACGACGAATGTTGCTGCGAAGACGGTTTTTCTCTAGCTGAGATGTCCGTTTGACCAATTTCGCCACGGCTGGCAGACTTGAGCGGTGACAAAGGCGCTAGGTACGAGAACTGCGCATTGCCTCCATTGTGATTTCCCATACGCTGATGGAGATCAGACCATCCGCCATCAGATCGCGGACTACCGTCTCGATGAGGCCACGGAACCTCTCGAGAATGAAGCATGTTTCGAGACATCGGGTAGGATTGGGGTTCAACGTTATGTTCAAGGGGTGGCACATTGTCCCTTCGATCTGATGGATAGAGCGTAGAACGAGTTCTACGTACGGCATTTAGGAGAATATCATCTGGGGAGGACGAAAGAGTGTCATCTGCGTAAAGATTTGGATCGGCGCGACGATTACGCGAAAAGCTTATAGGGAGCGAACGGGGGGCGTCAATGAATGAAGAGGGAGAAGGAGTTTCCGGATATGACACAGGTGGGGATGTAGACACAGTGCTTGAAGCCAAACCTTGCCGATGAGAGGAGATTTTTAACTGCAGGGCTCGTATGAGCGGTGTGTATATAGCCAACGTCATGTCTGACCTGATTTTCCCGCTCCTCAGCGAAATCGACATCCGACTCCAGCTCATCATCGAGATAGGTTGAACGAATCCTGGGTATTGGAATGCTATGGCTGCTAGTTGTGGGTGCGATAGGGTTGTCCGAATCTCGCATCATATGGACCGATGATGCCTATGAACGACAAGCCAATGTAAGCTAGTTCGAGGAGATGAAGAAACAAGCACAGCGTTAGCATTCACAGCGGGAAAGCCTTTCAGCGTCTCGAATCCATGTGAATCTGCTGACCTTTCTGAGCATCATGAAGCAGACGCCTATCGCTTAATAAAGACTAATAGAGAATATGACATTGACAAGATAAACCACTATGTGGTTGTGGGCTGATGGCGCAAACACGTCACTGGATTCTCATTGACAAGTGCATGAAAAAAGAGCGGTCAAGCGTCCGAGAATCTAGCTCATGTCCACAGCCTCGACAACGGTAGCAATAGCTTGTTTCGTCGTCTGCTTTGGAGGCGAGGGATAGTTGCATGTAAACTAACCCTAGTGCATGGTCGTCCGATGTTGGTGCATCTATGTAGTCGAAAATTGTGTAAGACTCACCAACAGAAGCAGAAAGGCAATAGGATTCGGAAAACTCCATTCGGGCGAGACTCAACCCGTGCTACGATCCATGAAATGCCACGTCAGGCACGGATATCTGGAACCTACAAGAGTAAAGGTTAACAGAGTATACCCTTATGCCCTCTGCTAGCAGGAGACTAGAAGAAGCTGATGTGGGTGAATGTATTCGGCACAGACAGGGAAATTTTGGAAATACTGGTTGGTTGCACTCCGATGAGTAGCAGTCATGCTGCCTCACACTACTACTGACTGACTATGTAATGGCGCCGAACAATAGCGCCATGACATGGATAAGCGCCAATAAATGTGAGTCTAAAACTCAAGGAAAAACGTATAGAAACAGCGGGAAGAGTGTCGATCGTCTAGGGACCTCTCAGAGACAAGTAGATGGCTGTGAGACCCAGCTCCAAAAAGAACCAAACGCAAGCTTTTCTAATCGTGTCATTGCCATGCACAGCATTTCGCGTGTGGCCAAAATACGTAGCATTTGGTCATTGAATTAGAACGAATTATACTATACATGCCGCCAGAGAGTGGCTACCCGTACGCCCAAGCCTTACTCATACAAGACGCCCACGACTTGGGCAAGAACGTTGATGACGAGAGACGCGAGATTCAGGAAGACGCGACGCTCAGTGCTCACGCCTCGCCCGACTTCATGCGCTTTCCTTCCTGAACTTTCTCTGCGCCTTTCTTGCCCTCCATCTTGCCCATGAGCACCTTGGCCTCTCCCTTCATCTTGTCCAAGAAGCTTGCCTTTTTCGCTTTCTCGCTACCACTGCTGGCGCTCGCGGACACGCCTGTGCCACCTTCCTTCGGAGTATCGCTTTTCGTGGCCGTGTCTTGTTCGGTGTCCTGCTCCTGTGGTTGTGCTGTGGATGCAGCCTCCCCACCAGGATGAAGCTCTGCGGGATGATAACCGCTCTCGTACCCGCTGCCCTATAAATTTTAGTTGACATTCTGGTTAGCGCGCATTCAAAGTGCAAATAAAAGGTAAACCAAGCCAATGAAACGCGCGTAATCGGGGCACCGCACCTCCTCTTCTCCTGCCCGTTTTTCGATATCTACACTGCCACCATCCTGGTAGCCTGCGTTCGTGCCTACACCTATGCCATGCCAGACTGCGCCAGGCGATCCCAATGTATGCGTCCGGGGATGCACATTCGCATGCAGCAGATCCATCCGAGCGTCATCTCGGCTTCCTGCCTGATTTAACCACCGTCATTATCCGAAATGAAGCTCTGACCGTCCCCTTGCCCGTCATACGCGCATTACGCTGCCAGATTATTAATCGAAGAATTATGCTCACACTTACCGTGCTGGGTTGGCCGTGAGTCTCCTTCTTTACCTCGTCTTTCTTCGATTCCGCCGTCTTCTCCACTCGATCGTGGCGCTCCTCACGTTCCGGTTGATTCATCTCGTCAACCTTATCGCCTTTCTTACTTTGACTGGCGCCTGTACCACCAACACCCGCCAGGCCGCCCTCTGAACGCTGTTCTCGGACGTCTTCCTTAGTGCGTTCGTCTGGCAACTTTGCGACACCCTCTTCTTCCTTGCCACCAACCAAGGCACCCACGCCTCCCACAGCTTCTCGGCCCACACGTCGTTCGTTACCCTCTTCTTCACTAGGGCGTGTCATTCCAGCGGGTGAATCATATGTGCGCGGATTCGTTCCCGATGCAGAGGATGTCGCTCCTGTTACACCAGCACCGCCGCTCGTCTCGTCGGGAAGCACAGCGACGCCTTGTTCCTCCCTCTTCCCGGGGAGCATGCCTACACCCCCAACATGAGTGAAAGGAGATTGGCCCTGCTTCTCCTGCGACGGGAGAGAAGTTGCGTCTGTCACAGCAGTGCCTTGCGGGTGTCGAACTGTAGATGCCTTGTTTGCAGGCGAGAGGACGTCCGAAGGCGCAGTGGGCGGGTAGGGCGGAGCTGGGTAGGTATCTGGTTGAAATCAACGTTAGAGATAACTTCTGAAGGAGAATGCGGGACTTACTGGACGCGTTGCGCGGGGTACTGGTCCCAACTGGTGTACCTATAGTACTCCGCTCGTCCGGGAGTTTTATCACCCCTTCCTCGTTGTAACTACCCGGAAGTGCGCCCGCACCGCCTACGTGCTCGCGAGGAAGCGATCCCAAAACTTCAGAACTGGGTAGGGAGGTTTTGTGGGTCACATCATGGTCCGATGCACGAGAAGTGCCTGCGCCAGTTATGCCAGTGCCGCCCGCTGCCGCACTTGCAGCCGCGCTACCGGCTACGCGGGAAGATACAAGGTGAGTACGGTGCAAGGTTCTTTCATGGACGAAGTCAACACGCACGCATGTAAGACGAGACAACGTCCACAACCTGGTGAGCAGTATCGGTGACGGTCTGCATAGCGCTCTTTGCCGTGTCGCTGATCGTTTGGGTGTTCATGCTGCTTCCTTGCTCCGACAAAGGGAATGCGCCGGGAAGGTCCTGTCCCGGGGTAGATTGCGAGCTAGTGGTCTGGATAATGGCAGGTGGTGCAGTGTTATCGATTCCGGGCGCTCTCTCTCCCCGTGCAAAAGCGGCGGTCGTTGTTGACTGCGCCCATTCGTGTGCGGGCGTGCCAGTCTCTGCAGAGATTGTTGGTGGTAGTCCAGCCATGGTCGTTGAGGTCACAAACGTCAAGAATAGAGATTCGAGTGTGTGGGGTGAGGTATAGGAGTATGTGAGAGACGATTGTGGGGCTTAAGATCGGTTTAAGTATCAACTTGGGCGGGAGCGGGGACGCTTGCCGCGCAGAGGGGCTCTGACGTACTTGTCGTCATCCGACCTCCTGACGTCAGAGCCACCATATATGTTTATTTACTTGCCTTTTTCGGAGCCAGTCGCTCAAGATATGCATTGGTTGCCCAAGGGTAGTGGGACTTCGATGATCTCTTGAGTAAGATGAAATACATATTTCTTCATGCTCGTGTATGTACCTCCTACCATCCACTTGTCGATTCATCAGGTAGATTCCGATAGGCTCAAGTTGGACTATTTAGCCAATTGTCGATTTTCCGACTGCTCACAGCTTCTGATACTGCATTCCTTCAAAAGCTTGACGGTCATGTCCGGTGGCGAAGTCAGAGTTTTCTTCTGAAGATCTACGTTCGTATTGCAACTTGCGGTGGAGTCAGGTACAGCCGTCAGTCTTACCTCGTGCTTATATGCAAAATTCCGATTTGATGAGGAGCTCGAAGCAAAACACCTTATCAGCCCTCACACTTGCACGATGTAAGTATCTATTTTCGCCTGTATGGAACGCTAGGGACACAGATCATGTCGTTGAGGTAGGTGGGATCGCAGGGGCCCTCCTTGTCGTACGCTACGCGGGAAACGTGTACAGCGCTGAGAACATTGCCGTGGTATGTTTCGAGTCTGATCTAATTATACAGACAGCTGACTTGGACTCATGGTGGGGTCGTAAACCTCGCCCCGACGCCCTTGACAGTCATCCTCAAGGCATTCATTTCGGTGACGTCAAGACGGGTTCTCGTAATCAGTGAGTTCTCTGTGAGAGATGAACCCAGCGCTGGTATTGAAAATGATTGAGCAGCTAGACTTGAAGATATGTGCCGTCTTGATCTGGTTATCGTCGAATTTTTCCGTTCACAAATATTCTCTACTGGACGTTTGCGTACCTGAATTACGAGGAGTATGTCAGAAAGGTGGTTGTGAGGGTTTCGGACGCATTTTCGCATCCATGCGTCCATTGTCTACCAATATCTGAGATTCTATTCATAGCTTGGACGAGATGAATGTACCTGTAGTCAGCTGTGTTCGCCCTGGGAACTGCGCGTTTTCAAGAGCTCTTGAGCTATTTATGTTGCTCTCGACTAGAACAGTTATTTAGGGATATGCGCTCGAAGGGTCATGAGTCTCAGCCCGTTGACGCCAGGTTCTTTTTCGAACTTGACTCTTATTGTAAAATACCCTTGGGCCGAGTTGTTCCTGTTGGACATTGAGCTGTGTCAAATCTACTTACGAGGTGATCTTTCCTTCTTGCATCTCGAACTCTGAGACTCTTGCTGAGAACAATTGACAGTGTAAGAATCGTTGCATGTTGCTGGCGCTCTATGAGAATAGCTTACCTTGCTTTGAGAACGTTCTGAGGCTTTAAACACCGCCGCATCTCACTGAGTTCATCTCCACATCCAACATGGACAGCCTCGAGGCACTTGACGTCAGCTGATCTCTCTCAGGTCGCCGCGAATGGCAGGGCCGTGCTCACTACCAATGTTCCGGGCAGTGGTCGTTTCATCTCGTTGCCATTGAACGTCTGCGTAGGTCCTCGTGTCGGTCAGTATGGTCAAGGGTGCTCTTCCAGATCCCCGAAGGCGCCATGCATGCCACTTGAACGTGGCGTGTCTTGCAGTGTCTTGCGTAAATGGGCGCTGGGCTCTCTATCCTTGCACGTTTTCACTGACGCCACGGGTGTAGTGCGAGGAACTCGTGCAGGCCACCGATGCGTGGTATAAGAGCTGCGACATGCGGCGTCCTTTAGGTCCCAACGATCCATTCAACTCACCTGCGAACTACAATCCCGTACTATCAGAACTTGAACTTCAGGCCAAACGAAATGGCTTTCGGAATTGGAACCATCAATGCTATCCGCGTATTCCTCTATGTAGTCCTTGTGAGTTCGTGGCATGAATGCTTGATTCTGCCGGCTGGCTGACGGTAATGTCGAACATAGTTCATGTTCTCAGCTGTCATGTTAGGCTTGACAGCAGCCCGTTTGGAATATACTACTCACCTTCGGCCATGGAACCCATTGAACAATGGACGTCCCTTCTATGACCCCATCATTGCTGAACTTCTTGCGTCTTCTTGCCTTTCCCTTCTCTGGTCACTTTTCTCGTACGTATCCGCATGGAAAGGAAAGCTATCCACGGCACTCACTTGACTTTCAGACTACACATCCTGTTCCCCGGGTGGGCGTTTGAGTACGGCGTTTTTTCAAGCTTTGTCGCCGAGATGGCCGGTCTCTTCATCCTGTTCGTGCTCTGGATCGTCGGCGCTGCAATTGCTTCCGTAAGCACGCTGTCCCCAGCCTCACTCTAAACGCGTGCTGACCATGTCTGCGAACAGACTATGTGGGCCGAACTCGAGTGGTGCCACGAGTACGAGCAGTGCCGACTCCTCATGGCTCTCGTCGCATTTGCCTGGCTCGGCTGGGCAGTACTGCTCTTCCTGCTCTTCATCAGCGCCCTGTTTGCAGTAGTCAACCGGGCGCTATTTTGGCAAATGCACGGACGTTATGATCCACGCACTAGCAGGGTCGTGAAGGTGTGAGTAAAGCTGGGGGGTGAGGAAAGACATGATCACGAAATGAGAATCTAAGCGATGGCCTGCTGGAGATGGGTCCATATTATCTGCTTTCTGCTTTTGCAATACCTAAGTTTGAAATCGTTTGTAGACCACTATGACTTCATTTACAATCGATACGCCGATATTCTCTGATTGCAAACTACGTCCTGTAATAATTGGTAATAGTAAACTCTCTAGATAAGCCCATGGTCATAGCAAAATAACAACAACCAGACCACGTACCATGTCACTATGCTTAGCTTTCGTAGAGCTCATATGAAGGGATATGCACAAGAGGGCGAAGACGAGCCCCGGATCCGTCGATACCTCCTTTAAGCATCCGTACAAAGAGGATTTGAAGAAATTTTCAAACGAGAACAAGGTGTTGCAACTGCTCTGCTGGACGTTGCTGTGATCAGAGTCTAAAGAGTCTATTCATGAAACTCCAGTAAAAAGGTCGATGACAGCAATTGGTCGCGATCTTATGCATGATCGTCCTAGAGTACAAAGCTCCATTCGCAAGAATAGATCCACATTGCATGTAGTAGAGGTGCATACAAACTGCCGTCATCCAGTTGGGATTGAAGTGCGCTTCTGGCCTCTAAAAGGCACACGAAGAAAAATTCATACTCATTAGTGGTGAATGTGGCATACGACGGTTCAAGCGATCCTCGCGAGAAGTTCTCAACCCTGTCACATGCGGTAGCACTGGTCTCGTACCCAAACGTGCGAGACCAGCTAGCACCATCTCGCATGCGGTGTCTCGCGTATAACCCACGTGGATGATAACGACTAATAATGAAGCATATACCCTTGAGATATGATGATTGGTAACTATTTTCAATTGTCACCGTGATAATGCTACTCACCAACATCATGGTCGACTTCTCCGAGTTGCACTATCCTCGTACTCTCGAGCCCAGTTGACCAACTCAGCATCATTCAAACGGACAAGTTTCGAGTAGCTAGGCAAGCAGGCTGCACCTCTAGTCTTATGAAATAACAGAATAAAGTGACTCAAAGGCAAGTGGATAAAAACTCGCAACTTTCTCGGATCGTCAGAGACGGTGATGTGGCGGCTTTAACCGTAGGAACGTGTCTTGGGGTCCCAGAGTTAGATAAGCCACGCCCGGACCCCAACAACAGATACTCATGCCCGTGCTCGCCGCTCGTGGTGGACCAAGGCTTGACCCAGGCTTGACCTTGACCAGTTTACGACCGACTCTTGCTGTCCGCACATTGATTTTTCGATCTGCGTTGCGGCATACACCGTAATAATATCTATCATCGCTCAGGCGGCGGTGGGAGCTTGCCAGTCGAGCTCGCTTGTCCGAGCCACGATTACTAGTCATCCGACCTGACAACATCCCGGCCGGTACTCTCTCCAGTACTTTGAGTGAGCCAATCTATCTGCAATGGTGGATGGTGATGCTCACATTTGGGCTATGATCCTTCAACCTGGAGTCGTGTAAGTGTGTGTTGTTGGGTCCAGTTTCATTGCTGACCGCCGGACCCACTGGGTGCGCTACCAAGCTCTGGTTCAATATATTCAGATCTAATCGCATCATATACAGCCACGAATATTGAATGAAGATATGTCGCCAACGCTTCCGGCTCCTCTCATACCGCTTCCGGAGGGTTCTCAAGGTGCAGCTGAGAATGGCCAAGACGATCTGTATGCTACCCTCTTTTCTCCACCAACACCAAGAGCGTCGCCAGAGCCGGAATCTAATCCAATTGACATGGCAAAATCATCACGCGCACGACGGCATACGCGGACGCCATCCTCAGACTCAGAGTTTGGTTCATTCATTTCTGTGCCATTCTCCGAGGACCCGCTCCAACCGTCAACTTCCAATCTCGACATGACGCCGCTTTCTCCTATACAGAACATCAATTTTTTTGATCGGTTTACCGAAGACGCGCAGGTGGCCACGGAGAGAAATAAGCGTGGCCTCTTGGACGAGCTGCTCAAGCATGAGGATGATCCTATGTATTTCTTGCAACTTGAGCGCGAAAACGTGTCTGGAACAGCAACTCCCATCCCTATATCTCCACGTGAAGCCCAGCCCGCGGTCGGTAATGCACAAGTCGACCCGCCGCTGGGTTTGGACACAAGCACAACGAAATCTGCATCACCTGTGCGGCAGCCACGACAACTATCTCGCCAGAGGAGCAGATTCGAAGTCGACAGGTCGCGCTCGATTTCTCCTCCGCTACGCTCACCTTCTCTACCACCGTCGTCGCCTGCGCGCATTTCCAAACCGGAGATACAGCGGTCACAGTCATCTTTCTTCACACCTACTTCCCTTCCCTCGCGCTGGATGACCTCTCTGCTATCGTCGGCCGTCCGTTCATCACCACCACGTCAGCGCGCAACCACAGACGAAAGCAAGCGAAGCGATGAACCAACAATCGTTCACACAGCCACCCTTCCCTCTGTGTTACCATCACAATTGATGGACTCTCTCAGCAATCTCGCGCGTCCGTCGGGTGCAATAGCGACACATCCATTGTTAAGTACTGCGGTAGATGATGCTATTACGCACGGCACGCCGTTCGCTGCTCACCCATTCGTCCCTGCTACCGGCGCCCCGGGTTTCGCTGGCGACAGAGACTGGAATAAGGGATTCGAGTTCGACAAGTCGAAGGTGGAACGGAGGAGTGTGCGTCTCGTCGGACGGAAAGAGGTCACCACGCCCGTGTTGAATGCTGAGCTAGCTGATGCGGTGCGTACTTCTGCGGCTGCTGTTACGGATCCAGACATTGACAACCCGCGGATTGATGCCATCAGTTACGTCCGCACTTTCCTGCACTGTCACGTCTCCCGCGCTCCTGGTCGCTGTTGTACAGCCTTGATCAGCACGGGATATCGTTGAACACGCTATACACACGTTGCCAGAGCCACATGGGCGGGGCGCTCGTTGTGATGCGGGATTCCTCAGAGGCAATCTTTGGCGCATGGATGGGTGAGGGGATTCGCCCTTCAAAGGGATCGTATTATGGCAGCGGCGAGTCGTGAGTAATATCATAAAGTTGCATAGTTCTCGTTGCTTAACAATTCTTCCTGGTAGGTTCTTGTGGAAGTTAATACCAGGCAAGTCGGACAAGCAGTTGCGAGTGTTCAAATGGACGGGCAAGAACGATTATGTGGCGCTCTGTGAGCCAGAGTACATATCGTTCGGAGGCGGGTAAGATCCTTGTTTAACCATCTTCACTTCTTGAGAGTAAATTGACGCCTTGCTTCCCGTGCACAGTGATGGCCATTACGGCTTATACCTCGATGACTCGTTAATCGATGGCTCCTCTGCATGGTGTCCGACATACGACAATGAACCCTTATGCTCAAGTGGTCCTCGACAGGGAGAGAATGTAAGATTTGAGTGTGTCGGGTTGGAGGTATGGGGAGTGGGGTAAAACGACCTTTGCATCATACTTCGAGTAAGTAGCCGTGTTTCAACACTGTTGTTGATGGACCTACGCTCTTCTATATATCACATGCATCGTACCCCATTGTATGTTCGATCTGCATTCGTTTTTTGCTAGTATGCTGACCATTGTCGTTCCATATATAGTAAGTAAACAGCGATGTATACCACATCCATTTTCACGTACCAATCGTCATGGTTATGAGGATAAAAACGCATCTCACATGGATTGCGCGCATTGGGCATTCGTAGGTGATCCATGAGCTGAAGGCGCTGGTGTAGATGCAGGAAACTTCACAGAACAGTATTCTCTGATGGGCCACCTCGAGGCTCGGCTACGTCTGATGCGCTAACGACTACACCTTTGCAGACTATCCCCTTCTATGCTTCCTCGCGGCCTTATCAATGAATGAATCAGCATTTCCTTCTCTCGAACTGGATCCGCTAGCTCAGATCGGCGTCGCGCTACATAGCCCGGCCTCCTTGGCTACTACGTTATTACTCAGTCACTAGACATACTGAATTGCTGCGTGCGTACCTCGTATCCCGTAAGGGCCATGGAGCGCTCGCCTCTAGTAATTTTTACGCCGCCAAGAGTGGTTTGATGCTGATCGCGTAAGGGAGGTTTTCGATGAAGCGATGGGCGCATGTTCGTAGTTACCTTTCATCGACGCTCGTCCTCTCGTTCCCCATAACTTCGCGTTTGTGTCCGAGCGTCATGTGTCGCGGCTATCATGGGTGGGTGTGCAGTTTAAAATGTATAAGCACATCGATCTTTGCTCACCAGGACATAGCCCACAGTAAAGATTCAGAATATCCTTCAAAGGATCCTGACTTCAGCCCCGTTGATCCTCTGCTGATGAATACCGCGGACGCCACAGCCGATGGAGCCTCTGAAGAAGTGAGTAACTCGCAGACTCCGGGCGGTGAGTTTTTGGTATTATTCCTCACTATTGTTCTGATTCTGGTCGATAGGGCAGTCATTTACTTCATTACCTATCAGTGCCGAGCTCTGGCGGCCAGTGATCCTGCGAATATGGCCCTCGGTGCTCTTTGTGGCTTTGTTGCTGGTATTGATTGCTCTTCTCGAGACTTTCATCCGTCTTTCGGTCGAACGGCACGGTTTCGAGCCTCCCTCGTTGACATCACAGTACGTGCTCACATATGCGCCGGTCGCATTGCTCATCGTCATTGGGTGGATCTGGCAAATGTACGAAATCTCGGTGAAGACACTCGTCCCGTGGGCAAAGATGCGTGGAAACTTCGTTCAAGCCCGTCACTCCCTACTGTTGGACTATATCGGCGAGAACATCATAACGGGTTCTATCAAAGCTATCTTGAACCGGGACTACACGATTCTATGTTGTATCGTCGGGTCACTGACTATCGCCGCGGCCACCATTGTCTCCACTTACATGTGGTCGGTGATCCCCACAACGTATTCGACTTCTGTATCTCTTACTCAACCATATACGTATTATGGCGCTCGGCTGGACAGCACTGCTGACGTCGCGCAATCCCTTGGTAGCTATCTGACGCGACGCGCGTTGAACCTCGCTGAACCTGCGTGGATGACGACCGACTACGTGATTGACGCGTTCAATATTACTACTCCGGAGCCGGATATGGTCATCAGCGCTGCGACGAAGGGCTACAATACGAGTTTGGCCTGTGATACAGCTGTCACGACTCTTCTCAATAATGGAACTGAAATACAGGTCAACTACGGTGGTGTCACGAACACATACGCGTGCGATATCTTCCCGGACCAACCAGATAATTATACGTTCATTCCAGAGACAACATTCGGTACAGTCGTTCCCCTTAATGACGTCCGCTGCTGATCATGCATGTTCTCAGTCTACGCGGCGAAGGTATACAACTGGACTGTGAATACTACTACGCCCGCTATGCTGCTTGCTACGAAATTGTACGCAGTCGGGAATTGCGTCGAAGCGACGGCTGTGGCGTGTCTCCCTCGTTACTCGGAGATTGATTTGTCTGTCTCCGTTGATGCGCAAACCGGAGCCTTTAATGCGTCTCCTCGGGCCATCGGCCAGTCCTCAACGACTAGCTTTCGAGGAGGCAGTTATCTGTTGCAGACCATCGATAACAACAACGGTGTCACTGGCTCTCCATGGGATGAGCAGGGTGCGACAAATGTGGACAACAACGATCCGTTCTCGTACATCCCTTGGGTCAACACGGCACCAAATGTCACCGAAATTGGATCTTACAGTCCTTGGTTTCATCTCCTTCGCGACATGCTGTTATTGTCGCCCGATGACATCATGAATGCCGATATGCTTGCGTCGGGATCGAAGCAGATATTCGCAGACATTGCACCGAGTGTTATTCAACAGAGTTCTGTGGCTAATAATGAAGATATCGAAGGCAGTATGTTGATAACGGAGCTTCGACTGGTCGCCCGATCCTCTTCCGTACACATCATTCAGGCATGCTTTGCTTTGCTGGTAATCATGGTCGTATGCATCGTCTTTTGGCGTCCACTCGTAAACGTTCCCAGAAATCCTTCATCCTTAGGTGCAATGGCGCTGTTTCTATCTCAGAGCCCAGCTCTCGAGCGCAAACTGCAGAACATGGGGTCCCTATCTTGGTTTGATATGGCGCTGTGTTTGCATGACGCTCATTGTCAGACAATCATAGACGAAAATGGCAATTTTCGGGTATGTATAAAAGATGGAGACGATGGGGTATGTCGAGCTTCAAATACGCTCCAAGCCCGTGCTGACGTGAGTCTCTTCTAGAGTGAGACTGAGAATAAACAAAACGTTGCACGTGGTCCTCCAAGTGGGAAGAAGATGGCTTCTTGGGTTCCTCCCATCCTGCATTCTGCTGGTCAGCTTGGACTTGCGGTGATTCTGGTCGTCTTAATCGCGGTCCTCGAGCTTCTATATCAACTTAGTAACAAGCGGAATGGGCTGGCCGAGTTCTATTCCAATCACATCTCCGAGTATGCGTGGTCATACTCAGCCCCTGCAGTCCTGTTTCTCGCAGGATTGGCAGTAGACATGTTCGATCTTGGTGTTCGAACGATACATCCGTACGTTCTTTTGCACAAGGACTTGCGGCCGGGCGGTCGAGCTCTCACGTACGACCCCATGCATCACACCATTTTCACGATTGGGCATCACGCTATCAACCACCGGCAGCCAGTCATCGTAATGAGTACTCTGATGGTCGTCCTCATACCTATCCTTAAAGTTGTTGTGGCCGGCTTGTTCATGACAGGAACAGTCTCATACACTGCATCAGTTTCCGTGGCGTTGGACACGACGTTTCAGTTTAATGACAGCATCCTTGCTAACGAAACAGCGGTGTTTTTGAATCCTGACATTCCCAGTTATTCTAGTGGCCAGGCTAGCTATGAGGTGCCCGCACTTGACCTCATTGTTGGGTTAGGACTTCAAACTCCCGTATGGACGACGTCAGACATCGCGATTGGTAGTGTCAAGAACTCCTCTCTGGATTCTCTCCCTGCGAATGCCAATATTACCGTCAAACTTCCTGTCCTGCATAGCGACCTGGTGAATTGCACCACACCCAACTATACTGCCAACGTGACGGACGGTGTTGTATGGCCATCTCTCCCGTGTCTCGATACTTTGGTTTTGGATGGAAACTTCTCGTTTGTTGTTCTCAACGCAACCAGCAACGCGGGCGCTGCATTTCCTGTTCCCGGACAAAGCAATTGCACCTCTATCTTCTTTGTTTACACAAACACGACTGACGCCAATCTGATTGTGTGCAACTACACGATGACACAGTGAGTATTTGACTTTCGAGATACTCATCTCATCGTGCTAATTCCTTCATTTTGTTGAAGGTCCACGATGGAAGTCACCGTCGGTTTGCAATCTTCGGGATATCAAGTCCTCTCTGTAGATCCTTCGTCGGAAAGTGATATGCAGAACTACTCGTCTTTCAGTGACCTCCCACTTATCATTAGCGGGCTGCCCAGCATCGACTCGATCACTAATTCATCATATACGAGGAGCAATCAACCAAACGCTACCTCGTCTTCAAACATGCCAAACCTGTTTCAAGGGGGTCAATACGACTACTATTTTGAGGCTATGTTTGCAGATGCACCTGAGTTACCCGTAGAGGCTTTCATGCAGAAAGATGTTTTGATTAAAGCCGCCCAGACACAGTGGTCCGCTTATTGGGCAAGGATCACGGACGCCTACATGCGCGTGCCTGTGGACCAAGACCAAACAATCCAGGGAAGCGTCGTGTATTATAGCACGAGGGTCTTTGTAGATCGACGTACCGCGCGGATCATGGAGGGCCTTCTCGCCGGTATTGTCGTATGCATCATCTTCGTCGCTTTTTCCCTCAGGACAGCGAGCGGCCTGCCGCGGCCACCGCACTCGATAGCGTCGCAGATGAGTCTCTTCGCGGGAAGCAAGACGTTGACCATGCGTGAGCTGCGGAGGTCTAACGCCCAGCACATGTCTTCTGCCCAACTGAGGAAAGCACTCGATGGCTACTGGTTCGGTCTTGGATGGTGGGAGGATGATGCTGGACAAGTGAGGTATGGCATCGACATGGCGGTGCCGGGTGCGCAGCCGGAGCGGCTGAGTGACTACACACCTGTGCTTAATCTGGCGGAGGGGAAGAAAGGATTCTCGAGATTTGATAGTGCTGAGGGCATTCCCAAGGTTGAAGGTATGTGTATTGTGTGTAACACATGGGTTAAGCTCAGGCTCTCTTTCTAGGACTGGAATCCTACCAGCTGCAGGACATGAACGGACGTCGAGAAGACAAAGACACAGGGGTTGATGTCCACATTGTGTAACGGAAGGCTACTTTCACATGTAGCTGAACCTCTTCATCTCTGAAATGAATTCACGATTTCGGGGGTGATGTACTTATATTTGTGCTTTCGACCATGTCCAGCTCTACTTATACAAATGTAATATGTTAATACGTCGATATATCCTGTTTCATGGCACAGACAAACTAAGTGAGTCCTGTGCCGCCGAAAGACAAGAGCTACGAGTTAAATGCAACAATGAATACTAGATGATGCACAGCTGCAGAAACCCACTGCTGACGTTGCCGTCACGCTGAAATTCAGAAATATCATGCGCATAGATTTTGGCGCACAGATTTGTAGATGCCGCTCAACTATATCTCAAGCTGAGAACCAAGGCGTCCCGAGGCCAGGCTCGACATATGTAATGAGTCGCCCGCAGGTGGTAGCCACAGCACGCAGCGATGCCTACATATTCTTCCTCGTCTACGAGAGGCTTCTCGCGACGACCACCTTGATGTAACGTCCTGCACTTCCATTGAAGGTTGGTTTCCGACGAAACGGGAAAGTTGAGACTGTCGATCTGACGACCCGCATATAATGAATTTGGTATTAGGGTACAGCGCAGTGTCAGACAAGCGAAGATTCAATGCGACATGGCAGTATACAGTTAGCTGCGATAGCGAGTACGAATGCATGCGTGCAAGAACTCTAGGTGATTAATGCAGAAGTTCGAAGTGCCGAGTTCAATGTGGGTATAATGGTATAAGTATGATAACGGCGAATGTTCCTAGTATGCACAGTGAAACCACGAGATCCCAAGGATGTATGCGCAGAGAAAGCGAAAGGAAAATGAAAGGAAAACAAGCAGAATCAAGGGCACTCGTCGTCGAAGCCGTCGTCGTGGCCAAATTCTGCTCCAAGGTCCAAGCTAGGCATATCGTCAAGATGAAGCTCATGCTCGGGGCGTAGGTGGAGGCTGCCTGGGGAGCCCGTGGCCATGGAAAAGTTCGCTGTTGTTGGCGAGATATTCCCCACAGAAGGCGCTGATTGCTCGTGCTCGTATCGTGAGCTGTTAATTTTGCCAAGAACTAGAGTCGGAGACCCTGTCGATCCCGCGCGTTCTGAGTGTGCACCAGCATGCCCTACGGACATGCTCTCTTCTTGCATAAGCATCGACATATTGCTGGGCGGCCCAGGAAAGAGGGATGACGATGTGCTGATGCGTTTGTGGCGTCCATCGAGGCACGCATCCGATTCTGTGGGTGTTCGGGGTACAGGATTGGCAGGTTCAGGAGAGGATGGTAGCTCAAATGAGGGATCGGGATCGGGGCGAAAGAAAGATGGTCGTCGCAGATGGCTGGTGTCCGTTGGAGCTGTGGTAAACTTACGGTGGCTGACTCTCGAGATTGTGGCTTGCGGTGGTGAAGAGAACTGTAGTCGACGAATCTCTTCCAATGCAGCTGCAAGGCGGTCCTCCACACCTTGGAGCCTATCACGCAATTGCGTATTCTCATCCCGCAACACACGTGTTGTCCGCTGGGAATCTGCAAGTGCGCTTAATAGTGCTCCTGTCTCCACCGAGTGCCTCTCCTGTAGGAGTTGCAGCTCAGAATGCAGATGCGCAGAAGACGATGTCGAGACCGATGTCGGCGCAGTAGACACACCAGAAAACGCCGTTCGCGGAGTACTAGCGGATACGCTCTCAGTGAATCCACCACCAGTATCTGTAATGGTGCGCGAAACACTGCCCGCACGCGAGATGCTACCACTGCGCTGCCCCCACGATGAGCTTGAACCCGCCTCCGAGAATGCCATACGCGACGGAGTATATCGCGAACGCGAGTCATCAAAGCTGCTCCGCGTCATGCCTAGCCGCGACGGCGTTCGTCTGCTCACCTCTCTGTCAAAATCAAGCAATCCGGCGGCGGCAAACGCCTTTGCTGTTCGTGGTCCGAGCCACTCTGCCGCTGCTGGACGTGAAGACGGATTTGAACTTGAGACTCCTGTCTCTACCACGCTGGAGCTCCTCTCGCGATTGCGAATCCTTGCAGGCCGCTGCAGACGATCCGTTACGCTGTCCAGACTCGGGCGGGATGATGCCAGCCGGCTGCTCGATCCAGTCCCGGCGGACGATGAAGGACGTGATGTCGGAGACGCTGGAGGTCCTTCCCAGCCGTGCGGAGAACCTCTGTTCAGTTGACGTGACGACGGACGTGACGGCCCCCCAGGAGTGAGATGTCCTGCTGACCGCGTGGGGTTCCACAATCTGGCTGCCGTGGACTTGCGGGCCTCCAGTACGGTACCAGTATGAGGCCTACGAGCAAGGTGGTCGTCGTCATCCATGCGGTCCCGCGGTGAGCTGCGCTGTACTCCGCTCGTGGACGGTCGCTCAGGGCTATGAGACAGCGCACGGTGGGTGAGGGGGGATGGTGCATCGATCAGACGTGGGAGGGCAGGACGGTCGGAGACAGAGCGCGCAAGACGCGGTAGGGCGGTGGAGGGGAGATTGGGAGCTTTCGAGACATAAGCCGCTTTGCCACCTTGCCGAATAGGAGAGGAACCGCGTGAGGTGGGGGTGCTGCCCGACAAGGTGGGGCGTCGAGGAGAGTCGTCCTTCAAGGCAAGAGAAGGCAGAAGCGGCGTGAGCTGGCTCGACAATGTCGGCGAGGGATCAGTATCTATCGCCATGAGCAATGCAGGCTCGCTTCCGGGAAGTCGATTTGGGCTCAAGAGGGCAGCCAGGTCTGGATCCAATGCACCCAAGTTAAAGCTGACATTCGGATCGCCCGCAGCACCATGAGCGGTTAGAGCGTCTTCATCCCCTACATCTACCACTACATCATCAAGCCAACCATTCAGCGGACCAGTCTTGGACATAGCTGCCATAACCTCCGTGGTCACCTTTGACGTTGAGAGGTCGAGCTCGGAACTCGTATGCGAAGGGGGCGTGTGAAACCCACCCGGAGCGACTCGCCTATACGAGCCGGCGTGAAGCTTCATCGCGTCTATACCTAGGGAGGGGTCGTGAAGATTCTCCGGTGGCGGCTCAAACTCCTGGGAGCTATCCAGTACTGGTATGTGTTTCGAGATGCCAGAGTTTTCCGCTTCTATGATGGTGGACAGATCCGTCGGACCAGCTGATGGTGATGGCGAAGATGCTAGGCAAATCAATGTCAAATTCAAGTAGAGCAAAGACAGCTCAGTCCGTACCATCGTCTCGAAACGAGGCAGCAGGTGAAAATCGGGGCAATGACATCTCCATTGTCCCCATGCCCAACCCAATTCCATACATGTCCGTGCTATTAATCAGTGGCTCCATCCCTGGGCGGGGAAGTTCGATTTCGAGTACTGGAGAGTCCTCGTAAGAGCTCTCTCTCCGCAGCTGCGGGGCAGAGACGCTTCGTTCGCCATGAATAGACCGTCGAATAGCACCAAAAGGGCTTTTGGATCCGGCAGAAGTCTGTTTGGATCCGGTAGTAGAAAAAAGATTGCGAAACGAACGGAAAGGCGTCAGACCGCCACTCGTGCTTGACGAGGTCGAGCCAGGACTCGGGTGAGTAGGACTACCACTCACAGAGAGGTGTCGGGATGGGGGTACGAGACCGAGATGAGGGGTCGACAGCGTGCTCGGGAGGGGCTTGCGAGGCGTAAAGACAGGAATATGCGATTGGGAAGAGCGCGGCTGCTGCACATCAGCCATGGTATTCAAAGGTTCAGGGTTGCTGGAGCCGACTGAGGCAACCAGATAGAGTTTAGTAGATTAGGGAGAGTGACAGAACATGCAAGTCTCGAGCAAAAATGACTAGCGACGGGTCAAGGGAATGTAGAGCTTGTGAGCAGCCTGCATTCGTCTTTGCCGTAGACGACCATCAGAACGTCGCCGCCGGTGCGAAGGAGCGTTTCAGTCACCTTGATTAACTTTTCCCCAATTTCGTGCAGTAAATTTGCCACTGAATGATCTGTATTGATGGTACTGTCAGATGAGGTGGAAAGTGTCGAGCATTGGCTCTGACAGCGAGAGTAAGTTGAATAAGGCCGACAGGGGAGAAGGAGGGATACATTTGCATTATTTCTCGCTGCAAAGAATTACGATAGGTTACGCTTGTAACTCTCACGTGATCCTTAAATTGCGCTTGCAAGCTAGAGAGTCCTTGAAGTTTCGATTATGTAAATACTTATATTAATCGTAACAACTTGTATTATGTAAGTGTAAGGTATTTATGCTGGCCCGCGTGCCTAATACGTCAGTCTTCCACGCAGAGGACCATTTGGGGCGTCGACTCGGACTGTGCATGATGCTGTTTACTGTTATCCATGTCCACCAGCAGTCCTAGTCGTCGTTCGACTCGGTCTACCACACCAAAGTGGCGCAGTACACTCTCGACCTCGAAGAGTCAGCAATCAGCAAGTGTTTCTCTTGTTTTCGCGCAGCCCGAGCAGGGAGCCAAGCTGCAGTCGGCCGTTGACCGTCTACCTCGAAGATTTGATGAATGTAGCTCCAGCGCATCGAGCATTATGTCAAAGAAACGGGAACGATTGCGCTCGACATCGACCCTCGCACCGGAGAGTGAGGCAGACGCAGACAGGAAACGAACAAGAACGGAACCTGCTGTCGCGTCAACGGAGGTTGCGATAATGTCTCCTTTGGATCAGTCGCAAGTAGCACCAGGAGATGTCGTGGAGCCTCAGCAAGGTTAGTTATCTGAACAAGAGACACCGTAATCATACGGTGTAGGGCGGGGAAAAGTTTTGCGCGTAGGTTGCGTTAGAGAGATACGCACTAATCTTAGTTCATCTGCTCCTCTCTTCATGTTCAATGACGTGTGTCTGATTGTTGTCTTAGTGACTTGTGAGGCTCCAGAAACTTCATCCGATATACTTCAATCCACTCAACTTCTGACCTCTCCTACTCCGTTACCTCCGCCTTCTGTTGACGTTGCAGAGAGGTTGTGCCCACGACCGACGTCTTCGCCGCCTCGCTCATCGTGGTTTGGTACACTCTCGCGAACCTCAAGAAAGGAGACGGGTGCGGCCGCAAATAGGAGAGGACAGATAGCGCTCCTTGCGCCTCAGACACAAACAATGGAGAGTGCTCCTGCTTCACCCCGCCGAACGCTGGATCCTTTGATTGCTGGTGTAGATACTCGGCCTCATCAGAGCGAGCATACCGCACCGTCGCACACACAGTCCATTCCATTCCCTGTTTCTCATAGTTCGCCAACTGCATCCGTTTCGCACTCGCCTCGCTCGCCTGAGATCGCCGTCTCAGCAAGTATGGCTCACCGTGTAGAGTCACTTTCGATATCGTCCGTAGACGATGAAGTACCTCGGCCACGTCTGACGTCGGGGGCAAGTCTACCCGCAGACGCGTCTCCTCCCGTACTACAGAGACAGAGTGATGAGGCCACTAGAACGGGTCGGAAACCATCTATTACGTCACTGAATCCGTCAACGAGCCGGTTTGCTCTACTGTTACCGCTTCTCGGAAGGCCAAAGGTCCTGCCTCAGCAAGCAGTAGTGAGCACGGAAGAAATAACGCCAGAAACTGCCCTTGTTGACTTGGAAGTTGCTGCGGACGGCAAACTTGACTACAATTCTGTCCCTCAAGCTGCTGATGGAAGTGTTACATCTGCATCGCCCTCAGCGGAACATACAGAACTGCTCGTACCTCTTACTTCGCCTCCATTGGAACAGGGTACAATGTCACAAGATGTACCGCTTTCCGGGAGAGAGCGACCTACAGAGACGGCGGTCGAAGCACCTTCCACATCATCTTGGTGGGATTATATAGGGTGGAGCAATTCGCCGCAAGCTCTTACGCAAACAGTCAAAGACACCGAGACGCTGGAAGCCGAACCCGCGCCATCTTCAAATTCGGATACGACGGCTCTACTACAGCTTCCTCCAATCCAGATAGTGACGGAGGATCCACTTCCTTCAACGACCCCAATCGTTGACGATGCACCTGCGCGGGAATCTTCGGTCGGCACAGATAGGAAGGAGACAACGGAGGCTCCTGCGAACCCTCCGACTAATGTGCCCAAGCCCCCATCCGTATTCTCTGCAGAAACTGCGAAAAGTGCCACTTCTGTGTGGTATTCGCCGTGGGCGTGGTACACCGCGTCGCCGAGTACCGCGACGGCCGGTGACACTCAGTCAGCGCCCGCGAGTCCTGAGGTAGCAGATTCGGCGGAGAGCATTGGACAGCCAGCCAAGACGGAGTCTGAGATGGTGAAGGAACGTGCGCTTGCTCGAGAGGGCCTTGCTGACGAGCCATTGCCAGCATTAATGGTGACCGCTGAGTCTGAAGAGGCGCTCACGACGGTGGTACCATCGCCCGTCGCCGAATCACAAAATCCCATCGAGAGAACTTTGTCGACAAGCCGCTCGGGTTGGGTTAGCTTTTTCATGTCCCGCGCACTTGTCACCAAGTCTGTGACCGATGATGGAAAGGAGAGAGACGAGAATGGTATCGAAGTCATGACCATTGATGAAGAGGCCGAAGAACACACTTCATCCACTCCTGTGCCTATCTCTGGCGGAGCCCAGCCGCCACAACAATTGCAGACTCAGCCTTCGCCCGCTATGAAACTACCTCTCCAATCAAATCGACACGAGCACAAGAAATCTACGGGCTCGCTATCAACGGTTTCCACTCCCGCGAATTCGCGAAGGGTTGATGGCGCTAAGTCCTCGAATGCACGTACGCCATCCCCTGCACCATCTAGTAAATCTAACATAACCGTCTCCACGTCTCCTCGCGTTCCTCCGGCCCGCAATCTCGTGCTGCCATCATGGGAAGATAGTTTTCTTTCTCCGCCGCGCTCCAACATTATACCTAAACCACAACCAGGGAAATCCAAACTTTCGAAGACCCTTTCACTCGTCAGCGGGGTTTTGTTCAACAAGGATGAGCCGGAGCCGAAGGGTAAGGGTAAGGAGAGGGAGAGACATGCGGAATTTCTGCACTTTGGCAAGGAGCTTCCGAAAGCGATACAGACGATAGGAGAGCAACTAGATCCGTATTTATTGAATGGTGGTTGTAGAGTGGTCGTCATTGGTGTTGCAGGATGGTCTCCTGGTGAGCATATCCATGCTGTCAAAGGCACCATGACTGATGGTATTTGTCGTAGGCGCTGTTACTCGTACGCTCGCTGGCGGGGTGAGTGCCCTAGTCGTTTTTACATGAGAGACACTGACTCTGCATGGCGTTGAATGTTAGCTACCCTCCTCTAGTAGCAAATTCGTCGATATGGCTTGTCAAGCCTTGGGGAACTTTGAGCAAGAGCAGGGATTTCAATTCAAGAAAATCACCAAGATTCCTTTGGAAGGTGATGGTCCGATAGAAAGGAAGGTTTCTAAGTGCGTAACGATATCTCCTACCTTTACGTATTTTCACTTTTTTGCATGTAGGCTCCACGATCATCTGCTGGGTGATGAGGACTGGATGGAGGACCTGCATGCAGCGGACGTGATATTCGTTGCGAGCCATTCACAAGGCAGTATCGTTGCCACTCACCTCGTTGATCGACTCCTACGAGACGGACACATCCTCACTTCTCGCAGTGTCGATCTTTTGACGAAGGCTACGGCTGCTATCACACCAGGTGGTTCATCCCTCTCTACAACTCAAGCACAAAGGATCTGCTTTTTGGCGTTGTGCGGCATTCATCTCGGACCACTGAGGTATCTAGGGACCAGTTCTTTACTGCAGCCGTACATCCAGGTGAGCGCTATGCCGTTGCTTCTAGTGCATTCCCTGACCACTAGCCAGTACTTCGAGAACGCTGCCGCTCGTGAACTGTTCGAATTCCAGGTATGCCAGCATACTGTTCGTAGATGAATGGTCCCCCATGTCTACTTGCTCTAGAACACCGAATCACGTCTCTCGAAAAATTACGTCAAAGCGTTGCGGAACGTAATGGACCATGATGTACGTTCTGCACGTCTGGGCCAATGTTCTCAAAATGCTCACGACCCTCTAAGACCAAGATGGTCTACATGGCTTCTCTCAATGATCAGGTTGTCCCGATTTATTCTGGCCTCTTCACTGCTGCCTCGCATCCTCGAATTTTACGTGCTCTATATATTGACGGTGATGCGTATCAGTATGTATTATATTCCTCGTGATACTTGACCTAACATGCGTTCTTTGTAGTTCATCCGACTTCCTCTCCAACCTCCTAGTACTACTAATTCGGATTATGAACTCTGGGCTTTCTGATAGTGGGCTCCTAATCCATCTCTCTGAGGCCACAGCAGGGACTTTGAGTGGTGTGGGACATTCGTCGATCTATGAAGAATCTGCAACGTTCTCGTTAGTGCATTCAATGAAGCTATATTGATCGTGTTTGAATTTAATTATGACAGGTTGGCCGTCAAATATTTCTTTCTTTCAACGGATGGAGATGTAGAGTCACCACAGCTACTTGTCGAGCCTTTCAATGCGGTTATAGAGCAGAATGATTACGAGGTAACGGGATATGCTGTGATCTTCAATATCTCACTAAATACTGTGATATAGATTCCATGGTCACTTCGTGACATGATAGCGGACGAGAGGGTCGCCTATTTCTTTGCGCGCGAATTTGCCCAATTACGCGATGCGTTCGATGATTGGCAGCCGAAAACCTCAATTTTGCGAGATGTGAAACGAAAGTTGCAACCGATACAACGTCTGACTTCTTTAACTCCTTCCACTAGCAAATTATAGTGGTGTGTGGATTGTGCGCATTCATAGATCCATGGACTATCGCAGCATTGCTTTGCATTCGCACCTTGTACGATACACACTTGCATACTAACACAGATATAATTTTACTAGAACGTGCTGATGGATGTATCATAATATCCTCCCTGGGTGTTCGTCATTCCACAATATACAATATAACCAACTGCCATAAATAGTGCAGTCGACGTGCATCCAGTGTAAACGGCCATGATGTGTAAGCGTTCAATTGCTCGGAAACTTATAGCACATAATTTCGGTCCACATTCCGAGAACTACGGGGTAACAGTAAACAAGGACGTGTCACTGTTTTGGGGTCATTAGCGATGTTCCGTCTACATCGCATGTAGACACGAGGTGCAGTGAAACTTAATAGGCCGCAGTTACTTCCTATCCCTGGTGAGTTGGTCCTCAACGGCGAGTGGTAAATGTACACATGGCAGATCAGAGAATAGAAAAGTCTGGCCCAGAACTGCGATTGACCTTCGTCGTTCGGCTTTTCTGGATCTCACGGACGTAAACGAGTCAATGCCAGCCATCAAATCCGCCGCAGATCTGTCACACAAGATCAGGCGAACATCAAATAAATGAGTTATGATTAGTCTCAGCACAGCGCTGGCGCTGATATATCAACATAATGGGTTGGGAACTGCTGAGATTGAATTACAATATTCTCAAAGTATGGACAACTTCGATCGAGGGCTCGCAACACCTGTCACCGGAAGACCCGCGAGATCACATCTCAATGGCCTAATTCAGTACATTTCTGAACTTTTTGAATCATCACCACAACCCAGAGATCCGCGCCGTGCAGGATATATTACAATTATTCGTGAGGGAGTTGTTTTGTCAGGTTATGTCAAAGTTTGTGAGCAGCATCGATAATCGAGCAGTCGACGGATTGATACAAACAGAGAAAGTTGTATGAACAAGGATATCTGGATGTCGTCTATCCTCGTCAGTTTGTTGGATTATCTTGATCCCTATCATAACCGGGAAATCTGTTGAGATCTTGTCGGCGATGAACAACGACAGATATAAGATATCGACATCGGCAAGACACTGGGAGCACTCAGAGGAGATACCACGGCCATGCCTGGAGCTCGAGATGTTCGTCCCAGGATACCTCATCCTGTTCTTGGGCATGTGTGAGTCTGGTTCACGACAGCTTTAAACACTGATGGCTTTATTACTCACGTCATACATAGCAACCTGATGGTAGACACCTTGATCGCAAATGCGAGTGCAGATGAGTCCGTCTATGCTTCATGAATGTAGACGTATACAACTAACGTTTCCCTAGCTTACGTGCAATCCTAAGAGGGACGATTGCCACTAGCCCCCTATCTGTGGCTTCTACGTTGACGGCAGTAGCGAGACGGCAGCTGCTCCAGACGAAGGCAGCGACGATACTTCCCGAACAGCAGCTTTTTATTACACGATCGGCCGATGGCAGTACAGTTCCATCTGCGGAGCTTCCCGGATTTTTATCCCAAATTCGAGCACTGTATGGCGCCGGCCTAGGATTCGCAAGCTTAAAAATACTTGCCATGTTGGTGAAGGCTGCTGAAGGGGTGCATTGTGAGGAAGGGTCGGAGCTCGAAGGACTGCTAGCCTCGATCGACGTAGACATAAGTCAGGCGATACAGAGCTCGAAGGAGGAGATTGAAAGCGGCAGGGTTATGGACTGGCATGCAGCTAAAGAGACAGTGGATAACCTGAGAGAGGTCATTAAAGAGAACAGGAAGATGGTAGAAAGCAGAGGGAAAGGATACTTGTTTGAGCAAGGCGCAATAGGTCTGCACTTCTGGAATATTTAGATCAAAGACCATTGCACGACAATGATGAGAGAAGATGCTCGCATTATCAGTTCTTTCGACCAGAATAGATTGGTGAGTTCAAGAATACCGTACCATCTCAATCCTTCGGAGATCAATGCAATTGAATCTATGGATCATTATCGGGATGGGTAGTGTCCTGATGTTCGGAATGGAATCGTTCAAATAACATACCAACACCCATATGAAAACATTTAACATGGTATCCACAATGTACAAGAATGTCAGAAAATGACAGGGAATTAAATTATAATACATACAATACATAATGATTTGAAACCTTATCCTCATCGTGCCTTTTGTCAATCTAAATATCTTTGTTGGTTTCAATGGAGCCTATGATAAAACTCGTGGACGAGTGACTCGATCCGGGGTTGTTTATGCATAATTTCGATGTTAATGAACACCATGTTGAATGCCATGAGAATGCTACAAGGAATACAACGTACAATGATAGTTTGTGTTAACGTGCACATGGAACAAAGTAAGACATACAATGCTGCTTAAACCATATCCCACTTCTAGTGCGCGAATTACTGTTGTTAATAGCAATAGTTAGAAAGAATCATTCTAATTGTTGATAGCCTCCGACTCGAGAATGATGATAGGAGTGGATGCAGACTGCTGTGCTTAGAGTGAGCATTCATACCCCACCAAATGCGATACACGAAGACAAGTGCAATAGTGGCGTAGGACGGTCGCGTAAGGCAGCTAGTCACGTCAGAACTGTTCAAGGTTGGCTATGGCTACCAATACGAAGACATAGATCAGAAGAGCCTTCTGCCCCCAAAGGACAAACTACCTGCTGTCAAAAAAAGCGAGTGAACATTGCTTAAAGTTGTACGTACCAAATCCTCTAAACCAGGCAGAGCAAGGGAATGTAAGGACTACCCGCTTTATCACGCAACATAAAAGGTGCAGATCTGAATAGAGAGAATTGGAGTTTGCCTGCAGTCATAAAACATAACATGGAGGCACCACTATTGAATTTTGAAACACTCTAGTGTTGAACGAATAGTGAATGCACCTACAAGTTCTATGTACAGAACCACTACAAACAGTTCATAGACACTGTAGATTAGTTGATCTAATTTCATCTATATCTTATCTAGA